GTTGCTTGTATGTGTGTGTGTGTATGGGTGTAAGTGCTAGGTACCGTGGCTTGGATTAACGACCCTCCCTTTTGACGAGATTGAAACAACGGGTAAAAAAAAAACGGAGTAACCGTTTTATGAGGTAATACAATATATGTATGTATATACAGATGTGCAAGAGTTGTTAGTTGAAAATGCGTGCGCATATGTAAGATGATATGTATGGAGTCGTGTTTTATTTTTATTGGCAATATAATGAGTTAAATAAAGATTGGTTGTGATTTGTGATTCTATATTCTTTAAAACAAACGAAAGAACTGTAACCCGTTGAGCATGCACGGAATGAACACCAAATTAATTGCAAGAATATGTCTTTTTGTTTGTTGCCAGCCGCTTGGATTGCGTTGCTTACACATACATATGTACATATGTATGTATGTTGGTGTGCATGTGCAGTTGTCAGCAGCGAAAGCTCAGCTGGTAGCTGGGAGCGGTAGGAATATGATTTACAGACAGCTATGTATATATTAATGTGGGCACTGGATCGGAGGAGGAACGCAGGAGCTAGCTCGGATCAAATTAAACCTTTGGAGAAATAGGAGGCCACAACCGTTGGCAGAACGAAGTATGGTTTAATTTGGAGCTAGAGCGAGAAAGGCATATACATATGTACATATGTATGCCGCGGGCACTCGGACTGGGATGGGAAACTCGCACAAAATCACTGCACTGGTGTTGGGCACAATCGAAGGGTTGTACTTATCTTACACTTGGAGCGATCCGCCGATGCTGGCTGGGGTGAGCTTCTCCTTATGGGGAAGGCGAAGATCCGGCTCGAAGGACCAATGTCTGTAGTGGGGCGGATCGAGGATCGATTATCCAACGGCGAGGTGTATGTTCCAGTAACCCTCCTAGCAGTCGCCACAGAAAGGAAAGGCCGATGGGTTTCGTTGTGTGTATATGTATATATATATTGTTCAGGTATTGATTCGGTATTCGCGCGGTATGTCGACAGGTTGAAGCGGGGGTGAAAACGTCACTAACTCTCTATGCCTTATGCTCTATGTTTTATGCTGCCTTTGTGCTGCCGTGAGCGCCGTGTGGATCGTGGATTGTGGATCCGAGCGCCCCTCCGAGCGCGCGAGCGCGAGCCGGGACCGAGGCGCGCGGAGCCGGCACAGTGCCCGGAAACTGTCCATTGCTGGCCTGAACAGACTCGAATAAGTTAAGGAGGACATTTACTTCAATCAATTTCTGCCTTAGCTATCCCCCAAAGGAATTTTCTTCTCATACTTTGCCATACAATAAATAAGACTTTCTTCGGCTGGGGTACCTCACAAAGATAGGGCAAATTCGTTGCGCAGACTCTGTCATTCAATACATTGTAATTTTTGATGGACCTTCTGTACCCCATGTCATGGCAGTGCTCCTTTCCGTACTGATTATTAGGCTCCCCTGTATATCAGATTTGATGTGTAATGGGTTCTTCAGTTGAGTGCCAAGTATGCGGACCCCATATGGGCCAGTCCCTACCCGAGTTACAGTATACGATCGATATTGCTTTTAAAAAGATAAAGATTGACCGAATCCCATTCTTCGATGGTTTTGAATAGTAGTCTAATAGTTCTAATAGTAGTCTCATAGTAGTCTATGTAACAATTTTAACGAATTACGCTGAGGGTTTATTCACTCCACGTTGACCAGACAACTAGATAAAATGCTGACTAATGAGTCTTTATAATCTAATCAACCCGAAACTTTCGATTCTTCCTTCGGTCGGAGGGACCAGCCCTGCGTTCTGATGAAGATAGGACTGCTCCGTTGTGGAGGTAGATCGCGGGGGAGTAGATCGGTAACGGCGGGGCCGTTATCACTCACCGAAGGCTGATACCCCCGACTCGTAACTTGTTACCAATTGCCTTCAACGTCTTGATTTTTTTCTCTCCTCGCAGGCTCTTTACTCTCCTGCTCTCCTGCGCGGTACGATTTGACCGACTCTCGACCTTAAACTCACTGTTCTCTCCTCCGCCGCGCATCGGTGTCCAAGAATGTTCCTGACGCTCCGTGCGGGCTTACGGTTCGAGCGGGGCAGGAAGCTGCCGCAGGACTAGAGGTTGCCCTTACAGTGTGGTAATTTAACTATCGCGGTACATTTGGACATTTTACCGCAAAATTTCAACCAATCAAAAATATGGAAGGCCCCGGTATCATGTCTTATGAGCGAGGTTACATAGTTACATACTATTTAAACCACTGGCAATAATTACTAACGGCGAGACATGCGACGAATAGGAAGTTGATTGATCGTAACATAGAAAAAATGGTTCAAGCACACCTTCGACACCATACCTCAGGAGTTTTTAGATGTGTTTCTTCAATAATGATTTGTTCAATAATAAATTCAGAAAGAATGATCAGAAGGCAGGAGACAAACATCAGAGAGGTTATTCAAACGAGGGGGAACGTTGTGAGTTGCTGCGGACACCGCAACTCTACATTTATACCCGATACTAAGTCAGTATGGCTCTCCTCCGGCAGACGCCGCTGCGTGCGAGAGAGACAGAAAATCAGTCTGAGCGTGACGTCGGGCGCTGCGTAGCCACTGCAAATTGATTTGTTGCTTTTGGCTATAAAAATGATCTGATCTGATCCAGATTCAGCAACTTGATAGATATGGTCATTATCTGTGTTTCTGCGTTTTTAGTTTTCTCTAATCTGCAATATTTTGGATGCAACAGATTTTCGTCCTTTATGTGGGCGAAAGGAGGTGGGGCGAAATTCTGAGATATACGTTTCATAGTGAGATCTAACAGAAGTGCGGATACCAAATTTGGTTACTCTAGCCTTAATAGTCTCTGAGATTTGTGGATGCCCCAGATTTTCGTTCTTTGCGGGGGCGGAAGGGGGTGTGGCGAAATTTGGACACGAAACGGTCAAGGTCCGATATCACAGGAGTGTGGATACCAAATTTGGTTACTCTGGCTTTTATAGGTTCTGAGATCCTTGAACTCATATTTTGCAATTGGCAAAACCGACCATGAAACCTGTGTGTTAGAGAGAGACAGAGCGAGAAAGAATGAAATTGTTTTCTTCATTCTGGCTATAATAATTATACGATCTGATTGAGATTTTACGATCTAGAACATATAGTCATCCTCTACGATTCTGCGATTTTGGTTTTATCGTATCTTTAAAAATGTGGATGCCACAGATTTTCGTCCTTTGTGGGGGCGAAGTTTTGAAATATTTTTGTAGCAGTGACATATCACAGAAGTCTGGATCCAAAACATCGTTGCTCTAGCTCTTATAGTCTTTGAGCACTAGGCGCTGAAGGGGGCGTACAGACAGACGAACGGACGGACGGACGGACGGACGGACAGACGGACAGACAGACAGGGCTCAATCGACTCGGCTATTGATGCTGATCAAAAATATATGTACTTTATGGGGTCGGAAACGATTCCTTCTGGACGTTACACACATCCACTTTTACCACAAATCTAATATACCCCATTACTCATTTTGAGTATCGGGTATAAAAAATAATGTGTGGTTGTCATATGCTATACATTCTCGGAATTCCAATGGTTTCAAGAATTGCCATACTTTTCTTTGAAACAGATTCCAGAATTGTTTCGTATTATTCCGTAGGTCAGGTCTAGGTTGAGGTTGAAGTTGAGTTTTAAGATTTTTAAGCTTCGAACTGATAACGGCCCGCATATAAATACACCATCGTAGCCACTGGGAATTTAGTACAAGCTATCTATTCTCAAACAAACCATGTCGAAACAGTGGGCACTCGGAGCTATTCTTTTGAGCTGCGCTCTACTGGGGCGAGGCGATCCTGTCACTCCTTGTGGCGATCAGCAAATGTGTGTCTCTAAAGACCGCTGCTTAGCTCAAATGGGACAGTACCGATCGGCCGTGTGCCAAGCCTCAGAAGTTTGCTGCGACATTTCGCAGGTGGTAAGTACTTAGGAGAATATTTGATGCGTACATTCACTTGCATCCCATTGATTGATTCTACTTGCACAGGACGAGTCAGTTGATGTGACTGAAGGACCTTCGGATGCTGAAGACCTATGTGGCATGAGTAATCCAATCGGACTGGAGGCGAACGCCAATGCATCTGAGGATCAGGCGAAGTTTGCAGAATTCCCCTGGACGATTGCTCTCTTCCATAAAGGTCAATACTTCGGCGGTGGGTCTCTGGTTAGCCAGAATGCTGTCCTCATGGCAGCTCACCTTCTGGCGGATAAGTCAGAAGCCGATATTGTAGTCAGAGCTGGCGATTGGGACTTGTCAAGCACGGAGGAGAGCACTCCGCATGAAGAGCGCCAAGTTTCGAGGGTTGTGAAGCATGAGAACTTCGATGTGAAAACTGGATCCAACAACCTGGCACTCCTCTTCTTTGAGAGCCCGCTCCCCAGGACAGCACACATCAGGCCCATTTGTTTGGCCACCGCGGAGAGGTCCATTGAAGCGCGCTGCTTTGTCGCCGGTTGGGGGAAAAAAGCATACCCGGATGTTGACTATTCGAGCATACTGAAGAAAATTGAGCTGCCCATCGTGGACAGGGATACGTGCCAGAATCAGTTGAGGCAGACCCGCCTGGGCAGATCCTTCGTCTTGGCCCCTAGCTTCGTTTGCGCAGGTGGAGAGAAGGGTAAGGATGCCTGCCAGGGCGATGGCGGCTCCGCGTTGTTCTGTCCCCTGGCCGATAACACCTCGCGATACGAGCAGGTCGGAATCGTCAACTGGGGCATAGAATGTGGAACGGAAAAAGTACCGGCTACGTACACGAATGTGGCCCAGTTTCAACCGTGGATTGAGCAGCAGCTGAATAGTCAGCCTTGATTATGTAGTCAACTTATTAAATTTCCGCTGGTCTGGCTGGCTTCATGTTTAGTATCAGAATATTTTCTCAAATAAAGTACATACTTCCAGTGAAATTTATAACAATAATATTAATATTTTCCCTAGCTTCCAAGCAGTATATGCTTAAGTTCGAGTAAGAAACGAAAAAAAGACCACGAAAGTTATCGGTGAAGAACCTAAAAATCCATTCCAATCGTCTCTATGAAGACCACCGATGAATAATTCAGTAAGTCTGGGGGAAGAAAATGTAATATTTTTTGAAGTGAAATGGGAATCACATTATATGTCAGCATGTCGATAATATTATTTGGTTCCTTTTTCTAGTCGATCAAAATTATAAACTTCATAAAATTCACACATCTTCTTTTTAGAGACTTTCAGTTGCCTAAATCGTCTAAAAAATTTTGACCCTGATTCCAAAAATTAACCTGCAGTAGACGCTTCGTTGGAAAACAATTGCGATGGGTGGCCTTTTGGAAAAGCCTTCAACGGATAAGGAAATTGAAATGGGGAGTGGCAATGGACTCCAGTACTGTGTGTCTGCGATGCAGGGTTGGAGAATGGAAATGGAGGATGCCCACTCAGCTGTGTGTCGCGTGAGCAAGCCATTCGACCTTTGGTCATTCTTTGCGATCTTTGACGGACACGCAGGAGGCCGCATATCAGCGTACTGCTCAGAGCACCTATTGAGCACCATCATTTCAAATGAGCAATTCGCAAGGGGTCAGTTCGTTACGGGAATACACGACGCCTTCCTGTACATCGACGATGAAATGCGCAGACTTTGCCCCGACAAGTCAGGTGGTAGCACAGTCACATGTGCATTTGTATCGCCGGACAAGATCTATCTCGCCAACTGCGGCGACTCGCGTGTTGTTCTCTCCCGGAACGGCCAAACCGAGTTCAGCTCCTGGGACCACAAGCCGAATCTCCCCTTGGAACGAGCACGCATAGTGCGTGCTGGCGGGAGTGTGATGATACAGCGAGTGAACGGGACTCTGGCCGTCTCTCGTGCGTTGGGGGACTTCGACTTCAAAAGCGACAGCACGCGCTCCAGCTGCGACCAGCTCGTCTCTCCAGAGCCAGATGTGACTGTCCTCGACCGTTCGCCAACTGATGAATTTTTGGTGATTGCTTGCGACGGCATTTGGGACGTTATGAGCAGTGAGGGAGTTTGCGCATTCATTAGATCGCGTCTCTGCGTGACGGCTAACATCAAATCAATCGTCAATAGTGTGCTGGACATTTGCCTGCACAAAGGCAGTCGTGATAACATGAGTTTGCTGCTGGTGCTTCTGCCAGGTGCACCCTCGGTTAATGTCGACGCCGTGGCCGCCGATCAGCGTCTTGACCATACCATTGAACAGTTGACACGGGAAGCCATTCAAAAGAATGAATTATTGGACTTTGAGGAGCTGCTTTCACTAATGCATGGAATGGCCCTCAATATTACAACTTTACCCCCTGGCGCCGGCATCTACGCCAAGTATCACATCATTGAGCGAGTTTTTCATGACGCCAATCCTGATAAGCCACCTGAATTTTTCGAGTACAAGTATTAATTAGCATAATAGCCCATTTATTAAACAACAGTTGGACCGTTCTTTTTTATCTTTCATTTCTTTAACCACTTTCAAACACTGTAAACTAGCATAAAAAGTCAGGCAGGCTCCGTTCTTCACTTACTTTTGCGGATTACGTTTTCAGCCAAAACGTTTCGTTTTCGTTTTAAGGTGTTGTTGTCGTTGCCCTGGCCAATTTTTTCCGAGCCAAATTTGAGGTCGGGGTAAAACGGGTTATGAAAACCGGAGCCTGGCTGAGTATTTCCTTTTGCTGCTAGAATATTTAGGGCCTCGATCCGAAGAAGAATGACGCATATGACAAGGAGAGGTTATCTCAGAGCTCATAGCATAGCAACACAATGTACGAGACTGTCACTTCTGTGCACTGGCAGAGTTGTTTTCCTTTTAATTGTAATTATTCTTAGCAGAAGCTTCGTTGCTCATCGAATTGGTACTTCAGTATGTTAAAATAAATGCTTCAATAGAAGAGAGTAGAATAAAATGAGTAGATGTTTTAAAAAAGAGTGACCAGATTGATGAAAACCCAACTCACCAAACGTTCGTTCGCTGAGGTGGCGAGGGGCAAGACCCTTATCGGCGTCATGGACAGGGGCGCCGAGGACGGCCAGATCATCCTCGTCCTTAATGAGGAGTCCCTAGAGCTGCTTGTAAAGACGGACGGTGTAGTGGATTATGGCTACAAGAAAATTAACATATCCACCTAGAAGGCCGATCGCAAGGGCAGGCAAGCGGAGGTCGAGCCAGACCTGAAGCTGCCGGAGATCCCGAAAGGGGAGGCCAACCCGGCGTTGGATACGGCGTCCATGGTGTCGGACGACATCCTGGACGACTACGGATCCGACTAGAGCGACCTAGCCAGGGGTCTCAGCCCCATCGTTGGCGGGGAGGAGCCGGAGCCCCCGACAGCGACCTAGAGACCACAATGGTGGAGGTGAGCATCAGGAATATCATCCACGCTCCTGCAGATAAACCTCCACAATTGTAATGCAGCATGCGCAGTTCTACTGTTCCATCTAGCCAAGGGTGGAGCAGACATAGTCCTCATTCAGGAGCCCTGGATCCTGGGAAACAGGGTCTCCGATCTGAGGACTCCAGACTATAAGCTATACATAGCTGAAACCGCAGGTAAAATTCGTAACTGCTTTCTTGCAAAAAAAGAGAGCACTTATTTTTGCTCCCAAATTTCAGCTTTGAAGACCACGCCGCAGTGAGCCTCGAAGGCCAAGAGCGCTCACTGGGGATCTGCACCGCAGACATGGGTCAGAACCTACCTGACACCCCTCCACACGCTCCCCTCCGGGCTATAATCGCAGAATGTGCGGCCAAGGACATCTGCCTAATTGTGGAGTGGGACGCCAACGCACATCACTGCCAGTGGGGAAACAATGACACAAACCACTCAGATAGTCTTATTTAACCGGAGGAATGACCACAAGGAAGACCTCACGCTTGCCTCTCATCAAATACAGGGGAACATTGTATCCTTAAATGGCCTGGACCTCTTTCTCGGACCGCAGGTACGTGGAAACTCTACTATTCTCCTTTTCATTACCGAAACCAGTTCAATTCCGGAACCTCAGGCGGACAAACTTCATTCGGTACTTTGACTACCTTTGTCGTGTTCTCCCTGAGTCTCCACCTGAGGAGGGTTTTCCCGGGAGGCCCCGACTCGACTTGTTAAAATTTTCTCCGACGCAAGAACAGAGGCCGGAGCAAACCTGAATGGTGGAATCCGAAACTGGGGGAACTCCGGAAAGCCTCCCGGAGACTATTCAATAAAGCTAAGGCTGAAAACGTTGAGCAAAACTGGGCCGAATACAAGGCCAGTCTGTCAACCTACAACAAAGAACTTAGGAAAGCCAAATGCGCCTCCTGGCGTAAGTTCTGTAGTGAAATCGAGAACAACTCAGAAGCTTCGCGCCTGCGCAGAGTTCGCCCGAACACAACACCCACCCTAGGCTACCCGAAGAACGCCGATCAGTCCTGGACTACGTCCAGCGTTGAGTCGCTAAATCTTCTCCTTAATACTCACTTCCCTGGCTGCGATGAAAACAGACCCAACTACTTCGCGCCTAATTCTATCGCCTCAAATGCTATCCTGAACCTGCTAAGACAGGAAAACATTTCGTTGGCGATTAAACCATACAAGTCTGCGAGGCCAGACGGCACTATCCCTGCCCAACTGATTCACGCGGGAGTAAAAGCCATTAATTGGCTCAAACTTATTTACGAAGGAGTCTTCTCCCACGGGTACAAAGATCCGGCACTGACTTCCCCAAAACTCTTTGGGGAAGCACTAGCCTGATCCTCGACAGAGAGCACGGTTGGAAACTGAGGATAGGGTAAAGAAAGCCGCAGTGGGCCTTTATACATGCAGGAAAGCAATCGGACTAAAATGGGGAATGACCCCTTATATAGCTCGGTGGCTATACACCGCTATCATACGACCAACGTTGCTCTATGGAGTGGTGGTAAGGTGGCCAGCCCCATACAAAAGAACTTGTCTCAACAGACTTATTAGAGCTCAACGAATGGCAGAGCTATGCATAAATGGCGGGCTACGCACTCCGTAAATCTCAACACTTTCCGCCCTCAGAATGAGAGAATCCAAACTGTGGAAAGCATCCACGGTTGGGCACTCGGGAATCCTGACAAGACTACCGCAATTACCAGAGAGGAAAGATTAGTGTATCCCTATCCCGGCAACCGCCTAACCTTGATGGATTCCTTTCTGCGATGCCAACAAATCATTATGTGTTTTTAAATCCATTATTGAAATATGGCCACGTCTGTGTACTAAAAGATACACGGTACGTTGTTTCTTCCACATTGGATTCCTCAGTTGACAAGGCCGGCTCGTATCGAAAGGTCATGAACTGATTAGAGTATTTTCGAATGCGATGCTAAGATCGCCCCACACGTCTGGTTAACGATAGATCTTTATACAACGTGTGCAGGTAGCTAGAACTTTCATTCTGCATTTGTGGAGGAGAGCACTCCGCATGCACTCTAAAGGAAGTTCTTTTGTTTGAGATTCTGGTGTATTCTTAAAAATGTAGAAAAATATTATGTACATACATATTAAAATCATTAATTTATGATATTTCGCGGTTAACATTGCCATTCAATAAGCAGTCAGTTACCTATTAGTTATCACTCTGCCTCGTTGGACGCCAGCTTCAGCTGCTGCTCAATCCACGGTTGAAACTGGGCCACATTCGTGTACGTAGCCGGTACGTTTTCCGCTCCACATTCGATTCCCCAGTTGACGATTCCGACCTGCTCGTATCGAGAGGTGTTATCGGCCAGGGGACAGAACAACGCGGAGCCGCCATCGCCCTGGCAGGCATCCTTACCCTTCTCTCCACCTGCGCAAACGAAGCTAGGGGCCAAGACGAAGGATCTGCCCAGGCGGGTCTGCCTCAACTGATTCTGGCACGTATCCCTGTCCACGATGGGCAGCTCAATTTTCTTCAGTATGCTCGAATAGTCAACATCCGGGTATGTTTTTTTTCCCCAACCGGCGACAAAGCAGCGCGTATCAATGGACCTCTCCGCGGTGGCCATACAAATGGGCCTGATGTGTGCTGTCCTGGGAAGCGGGCTCTCAAAGAAGAGGAGTGCCAGGTTGTTGGATCCAGTTTTCACATCGAAGTTCTCATGCTTCACAACCCTCGAAACTTGGCGCTCTTCATGTGGAGTGCTCTCCTCCGTGCTTGACAAGTCCCAATCGCCAGCTCTGACTACAATATCGGCTTCTGACTTATCCGCCAGGAGGTGGGCTGCCATGAGGACAGCATTCTGGCTAACCAGAGACCCACCGCCGAAGTATTGACCTTTATGGAACAGAGCAATCGTCCAGGGGAATTCTCCAAACTTCGCCTGATCCTCAGATGCATTGGCGTTCGCATCCAGTCCGATTGGATTACTCATGCCACATAGGTCTTCAGCATCCGAAGGTCCTTCAGTCACATCAACTGACTCGTCCTGTACAAGTAGAAGCAATCACAGGAATGTACGCGAATGTACGCATCGAATGGCCTCCTTAGTACTTACCACCTGCGAAATGTTGCAGCAAACTTCTGAGGCTTGGCACACGGCCGATCGGTACTGTCCCATTTGAGCTAAGCAGCGGTCTTTAGAGACACACATTTGCTGATCGCCACAAGGAGTGACAGGATCGCCTCGCCCCAGTAGAGCGCAGCTCAAAAGAAAAACTCCGAGTGCCCACTGTTTCGACATGGTTTGTTTGAGAATAGATAGCTTGTACTAAATTCCCAGTGGCTACGATGGTGTATTTATATGCGGGCCGTTATCAGTTCGAAGCTTAAAAATCTTCAAACTCACATTTAACTGCAACCTAGACCTGACCCACGGAATAATGCGAAACAATATTAGAATCTGTTTCCGCGAAAGTATGGAAATTCTTGAAACAATTGGAATTCAGTGAATGTATAACATAAAACAGCCACATATTAGTTCTATGAATAACCTCTCTGCCGATTGGCTCCGTTCATTGTGTTAATAGTCTCCTGCCCTCCGATTATTCTTTCTGATTATTGAATCGCCCAAATTTACCGAATAACAACCATAATTGTAGAAACACATCTAAAAACCCCTGAGATATGGGGTCGAATGTATGCTTGGATAATTTTTCCATGTTACGATCAATGAATTTCCCTTTCGTCTCATGTTCCGTCATTAGTAATTATTGCACGTGGTTTTAAAAGTAATAGTATTGTAGGTCACCTCGCACAAGAGATTTAACGCCGCAGCGTTTCATATATTTGAATTGTTGGTGAAACGCCACTTGGGGTCGAATTTTATTTATTTTTCGTTATTTCTAATCTATTTTACTATTCTTATTTTATCGACTCTTAAAAAAACTAGTGTAAGTTAGACTGGGGCAAAGCGGGAGCGCAATAAAAGCTCGTTCCTGGCGAAATCGCCCCGCTTTGCCGCCGAAGGTAAGCTAAACTAAGATGAAATTGTCAGCATAATTTGTGGAAGTCGAGAAAAGTTATTGAAATCGAACGCGCGCAACCCTGTCGCCTCTTTTTCGTCTTTAAAAAATTAAAATTATTTGCAGCGTCCTGCCCCGTACGAACCGTAAGCCCGCACGGCGCGTCAGGAATACTCGGGGGGGCACCGGTCGACAGAGGAGGGGAGGACACTGAGTGTCAGGTTGAGAGCCCATCAAATCGTACCGCGCACGCTAGCAGGAAACATCAAACATCATCAAACATAGGCTTAGCTTTATTTTAAAGTATTTTCCCTTACGTATGTGCTCTAATCTTCCATGCCAAAAATTAAAAGTATCTATTTTCTGAGCATTAAAACGGACAACCTATATGCTATCAATATAATATCACTGTATATTATAATATTACTATTAATGTTCTAAAAAATTGTACTAACTGCCACACATCTTGGACGAAATACAGCGGTTACTCCTGCATCCTGCATCCTTTTTACCGATAATAGATGTTAAGGAACTTCCGAAAAAAGCAGTACAGTTCAACATGATTTTGGCCAGAGAATGACTGCTCAACTCCGATGTGCCTTTCTTGGTTGCAAATCAATTGGCCACACTTTTTCACTTAAAATGAGCACAGGGGTATATTATATTTGTGGTGAAAGTGGATGTGTGTAACACACAGGCGGAAGCGTTTCCGACCCCATAAAGGAGTCGATAGGGCCATGTCCATCTGTCTGACTTTGCTTGCACAAGGGCCTTTGGTTTCCCAGCTACGGTCCTGACCCAACAGTTGAAAATAGTAGAACGTCAACCCAAATGCAATCGTTTAATTTACATATTGTTATGATATATTTCTGTATTAAATTGCATCTGTTTTAGTTTTATTTTGAATATGCGATTCAACAATGAAACCAGCTCGATGGACAAACTGCCATATACGATAGGATGCGATCGCCGCTCAGATCGCCCTACATGTACGTCTAGTTATCGATGAAAATCTTTACAAAATGTGCATGGGGCTAGAGTTTTCCTTATGCATTTGTGGGATCTAACGATCTAGTTTAAATAACTTTGTGGGACTAATGATATTGATAATTTACCCAAAAGAATACAAAATTTTATGGTACTAATCCAATATTAATTTTTTGTGATGAATTTATTATTTTTAAAGGAAATTCAAGAGCACATTTCAATAAAAAGATCTATTTTGAAAAAGTTATAAATATATCATGTACAAATTAAAATCATCAACTTGTTGCTTTAAATTCTGTCATTCAATAATTAATCAACATTCTATAGCTACCCATTAATTCGTTGGAGCCCTGCTTCAGCTGCTGCTCAATCCACGGCAGGAATTTGGTGACGTCTGTGTAGACAGCCGGTACGTTTTCCTTTCCACACTCGATTCCCCAGTTGACGATTCCGACCTGCTCGTATCGCGAGGTGTTATCGGCCAGGGGACAGAACAACGCGGAGCCGCCATCGCCCTGACAGGCATCCTTACCCTTCTCTCCACCTGCGCAAACGAAGCTAGGGGCCAAGACGAAGGATCTGCCCAGGCGGGTCTTCCTCAACTGATTCTGGCACGTAGCCCTGTCCACGATGGGTAACTCAATTTTCTTCAGTATGCTCGAATACTCAACATCCGGGTATGCTTTTTTTCCCCAACCGGCGACAAAGCAGCGAGCATCGATGGACCTCTCCGCGGCGGGCAAACATATAGGCCTGATGTGGGATGCCTTGGGGAGCGGGTTCTCAAAGAAGAGGAGTGCCAGGTTGTTGACCCCAGTTTTCGCATTGAAATTCTCATGTTTCACAACCCTCGAAACTTGGCGCTCTTCATGCGGAGTGCTCTCTTCCGTGCTTGACAAGTCCCAATCGCCAGCTCTGACTACAATATCGGCTTCTGACTTATCCGCCAGGAGGTGGGCTGCCATGAGGACGGCATTATGGCTAACCAGAGAGCCACCGCCGAAGTATTGACCTTTATGGAACAGAGCAATCGTCCAGGGGAATTCTCCAAACTTCGCCTGATCCTCAGATGCATTGGCGTTCACCTCCAGTCCGCTTGGATTGCTCATGCCACATAGGTCTTCAGCATCCGAAGTTCCTTCAGTCACATCAACTGACTCGTCCTGTACAAGTAGAAGCAATCACAGGAATGTACGCGAATGTACGCATCGAATGGCCTACTTAGTACTTACCACCTGCGAAATGTCGCAGCAAACTTCTGAGGCTTGGCACACGGCCGATCGGTACTGTCCCATTTGAGCTAAGCAGCGGTCTTTAGAGACACACATTTGCTGATCGCCACAAGGAGTGACAGGATCGCCTCGCCCCAGTAAAGCGCAGCTCAAAAGAATAGCTCCGAGTGCCCACTGTTTCGACATGGTTTGTTTGAGAATAGATAGCTCGTACTAAATTCCCAGTGGCTGCGATGGTGTATTTATATGAGGGCCGTTATCAATTTGAAGCTTAAAGACTTAAAGCTCAACCTTGACCTGACCCGACTTCCCACAAATTAATAAATCGGTTCTCAAGAAAATTGTTGCCATTCTTCCGAAACTCTGAGAATATATAAAATGTGAGTACAGCGGCAAATTCTTCTTTGAATAACCTCTATAATCTGTCTGAATGAACCATATATTTTCAAATGAAATATGCGCAAAACATAGCATCTCTCTATGCCCCCTAATTCTCGAAATTTTCTGAAAATAATTTTCAATGTCCACAATCTACTCTGTAGTACATTTATTGCTTTTAAATGTTAGATATTCCTATACTCGTATTACTAATACGATAAAGTAAGCCCGTTATCAGTTACGTGAAGGGAAATACCCGTAAGACAGTGAGGCATTCAATCATAATCAGGCATAATCAGCATGCGGCCCTTCTTTCGAAACGTCTTCCGGCCGTAATTTGTGATCTTTCTGCATTTTGAGTGGATGTATTTTATCTGGCAAAGCTTTCAGAATGAGATCTCTACCGAATACTTTCAGGCTATAGATCATATAGTCGAAATAAAACATATTCCGGACCTGAACATAGTTAAAAGAAACGGCGTTGTTGGCGAAAGTGCCCTGTTAGAGATGAATGATTAGTAAATTTAAGGTTTAATTTGTTCAACCTTGTACGAAAGTCTTTGATCCCTAAGGTGATATACTTCCAGAGCCAATAGTTTGGATCATAGCGTAAATAGGCACTCGATCTAACCTGCGGATCTATCAGGTAAATCCGTCGCCGTCCCTTGGCATCCATTGACTTCCCCGCCATTACTTTGGGCGTATCGATGCACTTCTTAAGCTTTACCATTGTGGCTCCCGCATCTTTGGGTTCGCACAGCGATGGATTGGGCAGAGACAGCTCTACAACGCGCCGATGAAAGGCGCGACTCATGACAATGCCTGGGGAGTTGAAATAGATGGGCATCGCCGAGCTGTACGGATACAGCATGTGGCGCAGGTTCTCCATTACGACAGCGGTCTCCGCATCTGCCTCCAGGAACCAATCTGACTCGTTCAAGTGGAAATCATAGATATGTATACTTCAAGGCCTGTTTCGCTTGCCCCCACGTTGCTCGTGCGATCGGAAATTGAAGTGAAGTGAATAATCGGCCAGAGGATCACTTCAGTAATCAGATAGCCAATGCCAATGCTCAGGAATCAGGTATTGCACTGGACCACATGATGTCGATGTTTTTTCGTCAGCTGTTGCACTGTGCAAAAAGCGATTACTCAGCTGTCATCTTTTCTGGTTTAGGGCTGGGTTGGTATTGAGAATCAGACGTCCCCACAGTCAGTAATCAAGTTTCAAGCATATTAGTTCTGCCTTTAACCCATCATAACGATATATGAAAAATGGATAATTCACTTTAACTTGTAAAAACTAAAGTGATCTACTAGACGAGTATTCCCGTTTGCTTTATTCTTTGGATTTTTCGTCCTCTTCATCGTTTGCCTCCTTATCTCTTAAGTCCGAATTTTCGTCGTTTTCACTGGTATCCCGAGAAGTAGCTTCCTTCGAGATCCGTTTCCTATACCTAGCCTCTTCCTTCTCCACCTCTCTAGAGTCCATTTCCCTAGCATCTGGCTCCTTGGGCGCCGCAGTGGTTGTGGTAACTAGCCTATCGTAATCATCCACAGAATCCTCATTGCTGGCCGCTGGTTGCTCAACGGGAGCCGGAAGAAGTTGACCCACTGGCAGCTTGGCGGGCAGGCTTTCCAGTGACCTCTGTAGACCATACGGCTTCAAGTGATAGATCAGATAGTCCAGCACATACATCAGATTGGGCGCAACATAGTGAAAGGATATGGCAAGATCTGAGCAGCAATCGAGACCCTGAAAAAAACACAAATCTTTGGATTATGGACATACCGTAGGGGGATTTTTCTTACATCATCTGTCTTGTAATATATGTAGTTCCAGTACCAATAGTTCTTATCCCACTTGGCGGGTATCAAATGTTGTTCTGGCACAAACGGGAACATACGACCACGACCCATCGCATCCCTGGAATCGCCCGCCGTAACATTTAAGTTCTGCATGCATCGACCGATCTCGATATCCTCATTTACCACAGTGCCGGGCAGACACATCTTAGGATTCGGTATGCCCTCAACCACGAACCGACGGAGGGCCTCTCGGCTAAGAACGTAGCCAGCTCCGCCGGACATGTAGCCCTGCTTGACGAACGGCTTGAACTTGAAGCCAAAGTGGACGGGGGTCTGGGGGTCGTAGGGATACAGCATATAGCGTAAGTTCTCAATCACAGCATAGGTGTCGTCATCGGCTTTGTAGAACCAGTCGGCATCGTTGTAATGGTGCTGGTAAACGTATGTAAAGGCCTGCTTGACCTTGGCCCACAGATTCACTCGACCTTCTCCCACATTTAGCCGGACCGTGGGCAGCTCATCGTCTTGGCCGGAGCTCATGAAGAGCAGAATGTTGCACCTCTTGCCCCAGGTCCGCTTCACATGACGCGCCTTCTTCTTGTGGTTCGTGGGATTTGTCATAACCCAGCAGAGGACGCGAACCTCCTTCTTCAGCTGCTCGGCCACCGTGGAGTTGTCGTCGCGGTGCTCATTGGAGTGATGCTGGAATACATCACGATCAGCCTGCTCGGCCTTGGCCGGCTCTCGATCGAGCTGGGGATCGCTGTGGAGTCGCAGTCTTCTACTCAGATATGGGTATAAACTTTCGTGTGGCACAATACTTGCAAATAACTGGGCCAAACAATACCCCACCACAAGGCCCAGGATAAGAGTGAAGATCGAACGATTCTTCGATCGGGGAGCTGCAATGGTTCCTAAACTATAGACTCTTTCGATGCTGGTCTCCTGAAAACAACTCAGTTACCTTCTGTTAGCAGGGTTCGCGTTAAAAGACTTGTGCTGGACATTTTAGTATTCCTCACGTTCCAGTTTCAAGTGAAACCAGTCTGCGTGTTGGTTTTGGCCTGCTTCAAGATCACTTGTGTCAACAACACATTCAGTTTTGTCACAAATTTCTATATATTAACATGGACGACAAGAAGTTGTATAATTTACTATTTTCTATTTCCAACTCGAACTGAACCCTATAGCGTTTGATAACCGACTAAACCGAGGCAACGACTTCATCTAGACCTGAGTGGGTTCCTATTCTTTTATCCCAAAACAGTTGTTTAAACACAAAACATATGAAGTAATAGTCGTTGGAAATTGGAAAGGAAAGGTGTTCAATCCAGTGGAGCAAAGATAGATCTGGATGTTAAAGGTCTGTATAGATACAAAAATATAATTTAATAACATGAAATGTATCCAAAAAGACTTAAATTAACGTGAGAAAAGATTGAAACACCCAACACTTTTTCACTAATCGTGTTTCAATTTATTATACTCTTTGATTGCAAAATTGGGTCGAAGACTACACTTAAATATTAGTTAATTAAACAAATGAATGAATTCTCGAATATATAGTTTACAAGGAAATAAGCAATAAACCACAAAAGAATCGAATATAACTAACTGCTAATACAGATACTTAGAAAGGCGTTGGAACGTAAAGCACTTGTCAACAATTGCTTAGCGATAAAGGGGGATCTACATATTCTTTTAACTATATGAATGTATTTTCATGTAATAGGTAGTATATATGTACTATATATATGTGCATTAGTGTATGTACAGGGGACTTTGTAACATTATCTTTTGGGGTCCATGTTAACAGTTATTATCGTAATCGCTAACGTTTTTATTATTGTTAGAGTTAAATTCAAAATACAAGCTCCAATTGGTTGTTAATATGAATGACGGTTATATCTAATATATCTTTAATATATAATATATGTATGTATATGTCATTTAGTATTCTTAGGGCCATTTACTTTAGCTTGGACGTGTTTTTTTTCTATAGTGGATCTCTCTTTGATTGGTTGTTTTGTGTTAGTGTTTGCTGTTGGGCCTCTCCGTTTACACCGTGCAACACAACGAGGGGACTCTTAAACGAGCTTCCTATTCTCTGATATTTAAACCATGTTCTGGATATAAATGTAAATATGTACATAATTAGTTGTATACCATTTTCGGGTTCAAGATACTATTTCACAGTCCCTTCTATTGTTGCTCTTCCTCTAATCTCTCGATTAACCATAAACAAAAAGGCCAACGTATTGTGCATAAAGGTACTTTGGAGGCATGGAGACATCATCTGTTTGTCATCTATGTGTATGTTCTTACGCCGGCATGGACGTGACCGTAGATGTAGATGTAACCGAAGATGTGGCCGGGACCATCGTTTTTGAATTTCGTGCCACAATCGCTCGGACCCGCTCCTGGAGATAATCACAGATGGAGGTGTACTTCTGCTGGTGCGCCAATTCCAGCGCCGTCAGATCCTCCTGGTTCTTCAGCAGGACATCGCTGCCGGCCGCGACCAGCTGCTTGCAGACGGTCATGTGGCCGAACATAGCTGCTGCATGCAAGGCCGTCTCCCCGTTGGGCAGGAGGCCCAGATTGGGGCGGTACTTGAGCAGCACTGTGGTGACCGCCGCATGCCCCTTGTGGGCGGCCTTGAAGAGCGGGGTGGCGCCGTCACAGCGCACTGTATCCACATTGGCCCCGTTCTGGAGGAGCACCTTGCAGATGTGATCCTGACCCATTTGGGCGGCTATCCAGAGCGGTGTGGCTCCGTCTATGCGCTTGATATCGATATCCGCATGGGCCAGGATCAGCAGCGAAAGAACTGTCCGATGTCCGTTCTGGGACGCTATGAAAACAGGCGTCGCACGGTCCTGAAAAAAATTCAAGAAATATTAAACGATCTCTGCACTCCGTTGTTGTCTCCACCCACCTTCATATGAGCATTCACATTTGCTCCACAGTCCAGCAGCTCACGCACAATCTTCACATGGCCCCCCTGGGCGGCTACAAACAGGGGCGTTCCCCCGTCCGCGGAAGCCGTGTCCACTTTGGCCCCCGCCTTCATCAGAATCTTCACCACGTCCAAGTGTCCTCCCTGGGCGGCAAAGAACAGTGGCGTTGTGCCCGTCAGGCGGCGCGTGTTCGGATCAGCCCCCTGATCGAGCAGCTCCATCACACAGTATGTGTGTCCACCGGCGGCAGCCAAAATAAGTGGCGTGGTCCCATCCTGGAAAATGAAAAGATTCAAAGTTGGGAAAAACATGAATTGTGTAACTATGTTATTGGCATTCAAGAAATTTAGGATATCATAGGTCCTACTGTAAGTTTCCAAAGAAACAACTTATCAAATGCAATAGAAATGGAAATTATATAGCGAATACTCTCGGCTCAATCCAATAAATTAAGTGCAGTGCATGTCTTTCATTACCAATTCAAAGCGTTAACAGAATAGCTTTTGCTATAATTGTTTAATTGAGCATCGGACGATTTAAATAGCGATTTTCGATTAGTTTCACCGACTCAAAACAAAACCGTTTCGTGTGGATTTGCATGCGTGTCTACGGATCGGACTCTGAGGAAAGTCCAAGGCGAAAATCACATGCCACGAATTGCAAATCACAAATCGCTCTCTCGCTGCACTTGGACTGCACTCGGATTGCCCTCGGACTCCCCGGGGCAGCACGTAGAGCTGTGTGCCCTTTCTGAGCGGGTGGGGGCTTTGTCTGACTCTGGCAGACCAGCTGGTGGCACACTGCCCCCGCAGTCCACTTTCCTTTGCTCGTGCCCGAGCGCTTGGCTGAGCGTCAAGTGAAATTTAATTTCTTTATTTTTATTATTTTTTTGTTTCGGTTTTTCTGTGTTTTGTTGCACTCTTCGACTTCTTTGCCAATTGGTGCGTGCTGAGGTAAACAAAGTGTTAACTGATTTGAACGCTGCAAACTGCTTTTTGTTTTTGGTTTTAATTATGTAATATTTTCCTGACAGCATTTGGAAGTCGCATGGGTCACGCCTTAACGATTTTAAGGAACTGTTGACTCGTATGTATACGTATGTACATACTATATGTATATCTATTTTTATCGCTCTGATGCAATATGTCATGTAACGACAGCAGTCGAGAAAGTGTGCTTAGGCTGGCAATCAGCTGATCAAAGGAAAAACTCTGCTATAGAACTCTTTGGCAATAACCTCACCTCATCTTTGCAGTCCACATGTACCTTTCCACTGTCCAGCAGCCGGAGCAGGGCCACCTCATCTCCCCGCATCGCTGCCATATGCAGCTGCACGTCCGAGGGCGTCTCTTTCTGTTGAGTGGAAAAAGGGGAAACAAATCAATTAACAACTTCAAAATGTATCAGCTGTCAAAACAAGAAGGTACCCTCTAGCCCCTGTCCCGTGCGATCCCTACTGCATGTGCCCCCAGCTCCCCATCGCTGGATGATGATGATGATGATGTGGGAAATTACTTTTCCTGTTCAGAGTAATTAGGGTCACTGCAGTAACACTCAGCACACAAGTTATTTCAAAGCGGATGTCGGACCACATTGAATGCATTTTTACAATATTTTTGCTGCTGCTCTGATATAAGACGAGCATTAACCCTGAGATGGTCGCACTGTTGATTGCAAGTGAAAAAGACTCTTCATCGAAATATGGGTCTCATAGGGTCTTCCCCGATTTCTCAAAATAATTGTGTAACACATCAATCAGTTAGCTAATAAATGTATTACCCATGTGTTCCCACATATGCTGTGCTGGACTACCACTTCGTCCGCCCATGAAAGGGTTAACCATCATTCCAATCACCCCAGAAAGCAGGCAGACGGTCACCCCAAGTCCAAGCCCTGACCAAGTTCCCCAGAAAAAGGAAATGCCAGAAATATTTCTTCAAACTTAATGCAGTAAAAGTGTCACTTTGCGTTAATGAAGCGAATTAAGTGGGATAGATGGTGATGGTGCTTGGCATACATGTATGTACTTGTGTGCATATGTATGCAGGTATAAGAGGCCAGGGGACCTGAAGCACCTGTTGAGTGGCAACACAAGACGGGGCAAAGACAAGTGAAAACCCTCACATGACGTGACTCAAGATGGCAGAAGAAACAATCCAAATGCTGCTGCACTTTAAAATGACATAATGATGATGATGATGATGACGATGATGGCATCGCGATAATCGTGTTGCACTGTTGATGATAATGATATTTATGGGTAGCAGAGTAGCAACTGCCAGCTACAGGTGAGAAACACTTTTAATGCTTCAGACATGCGCTAGACAGAGCTGACGCGATTGCATCAGAATGAGATATATGAAAGTTCCCGTGATCACCAGATCATTGCATTTTTTCCAATCAAAATCAGACAATTTAGAGTTCGCTGAGTTCTCGTTTTAGGAATAGAACAACTCCATTCTACCCGCCTATGTAGTTTCCTGGCACAAATTCCATTCACCTCATTCCGAATAGGCCAATTACTCGGTATATAGGTCAAGACTTGAGCATTTACTCACCTTTAGCGACATGTTTAGTTCTCCTCTGTCGTCTCTTGTCTCTAGCAATTGCACCTGCTTACAAGCCCGTTTCCATTGACCGATTTTATCGAACTGTAACGCTGCTGCTCCTCCAACTCCAACTGCAGCAACTTCTGGTTAACACAGAGTAACACAGCAACAACAAATCAAATCACAGCTGAATCTGCGCACAGTAGAAGCGGCAGCCACATAATAGCCATCCCCACATCCAAGTCGGAGTAGAAGTCGAAATCCAAGTCCAAGCGACCAGTTCCCAAAAGTCAGGCACTGCAAATAAAAGAGGAGAAAAGGCACGGGCCACATTAAAATTAAGTTGCTATGGGTATAACAGGTTTTTCTGTTCCTAAGATGAGAATTAGAATGCAAAAAAAAAAAAAACAAAAAATGTCAGTCCCATTGGGAGGAGTTCCTGGGAAATGACCTGAAACCGATGGATTACAGCAATGCTATGGTGTATGATGGTGTAGGGTCTCAGGGATCTCAGCCAAACAAGTTGCCTCCTCAAAGGGCAGCTGTGAAAAATGGTGCATGCGCCCCGGTTTTAGATCAAAAGTAAAAGTTCGGCACAGGTTTCTTGGATAGTGGAGAAAACGATGTCTTATATGGGTCGAACCAGTTATATTTTAACCAGGACTATTAAATGGAATTGGCCCTCTTGGAATTGCATGGCTATTAATATTTAAAAGTGGCAATTACTCCTTGCCATGGATTCTAGACGAAGCTTGAAGAACTTTTACGAAGAAAAAAGAATGGTTGGTTATGGGCACATACTCGTAAATAACTAATATACGAGTGGCAGCCTGTGCAATTTTCTTTCAAATAACATCAAGCTACTGCCTAAGAGAGGCCCCTCTAATCATCCAATTTGCATTTAAAATTGCAATTATTTTCCATTGGCCTTGAAATGTGGTCTCTTGAGGTCTCTTCATTCAAGCAAGTTCCTTTATGTAATATTTATAGCATCGCTTTCTCTACGATTTAGACAAGACTTTCTTTCAATGAAATTGAACAGAGATTATTTATACCTTAGTTTTGTCTTCTAAGTTCTTTCAACCTCAAGCAGTATTTCAAAAACAAAAGTGTCTTATATGTAGAGTATTTATAGCCTAGGTTTGTTAGCTCTAAAGTTTCTTTTTGTATCCATTTTGCATTTCATGCAGTTTGATTCGATTTTGCATGTTGCCGCATTAGTTCGTGTTGGTTTTTGTACAGTTTATAATTTCTCTCTTTTTTTACAGGAACGCCCCCTGACAATTGAGAGGCGGCCCCTCAGATCAGGTCGGGTCTGACTTGGCTCTATCAGCACGCCAAATACATAGGCTGGCCGAAGTGAAGCATTTTCATTTTCATGATTTTTTTTTCTATTACTTTTAGTCCAGTTGTTTTATTAATTGAATTTCATGTCGGAGCCGTTTTTTTTTTGTTTTTTTCTATATATTGTTGCTTTGAGCCGCATCATCGCCATCATCATGATGATGACTGCCTTTCCTCTTTCAACTTTTGACCTAGAAAGTGCTTTAGTTTTAGGTTTTCCTCGTGGGGCATCGTCTGTGGCAGGCAGCAACAGCAACGCCAGAAGCCACGCACTTTTCGGTGCTGACATCATACATACAGCTTTTCTTTTTCCCTTTCCACTGAGGTTTTTATATTTTTTATTTCTTGCCGGTTTTCTTTGGCCTTTACCCGTTCTTAATTAGACCTTTTGAAGGATGGTTTTCATCTCTATTTAATTAGGTGATCATTTAACATCATGTATGTTCATACATTGTATGTACATATGTGTTGAGTGGAGGAGTGGAGGAGAATATTTAAACAGTTCTGGAACGGTTGTACATCAGTTCCTAAACGAATATTGTGTGCTAAGCCCTGCAAATAGGGGTATATTTCTGCATCGGTAGAGAACCTCTATCGAACAGAGATTAGGCATTGGTTTTGGGGCCCAATTTCTTATCATAGTTTATGAATACCTTTAAAAATCTGTTCCTAATCATAAGCCTATTCGGAAAATATAGAAAATAAAGGGATATCGAAGTTCCAGGTTTGTGTTATGATTATTTTCATAGCTAAAGGCTGGCCACATAACCGATCTTATGTGTGCGAGCTATGCTTCAGCACATACTGATATGATACTCAGTCGCAGTATCGGTCCGTATGATTAGATATCGTTAGACAGCCATTTAAATGCCGTACATAATCGATTATAAATACTCGTGGCTATTGTTACAACTTATAACCAGATCATTAAAAGTAATCTTTGCACCGAAGCTTTGGCAAACTGTTTGTATAACACATCTAACTATTGTTAATCTACGAATATTTTTATATATTCGGCACACTGTAATTTGTTTCACTTTCGTTTTACAATTTAGTATGGTTTTTATTATTTAACTCATGCCTTTTGCTATTTCATATTTTGGTTTAAAAATAGCATCTCACGTTATCATGATCTCATGTTGTGTGGCTTACTCTCGCATAAATTCAGCTCAAAGTTTACACATTATGCAAAAATATCAGCACATTCGCCACCGCACACACTCAGAAAAGGTCACCAGGCAACCTGACAAAATCGCCGGGCCCCTAGGCCACTTGTGAGATCTCACCTCAAGAAGTTTCAGCTCCACAATAACAATAGCAACAATCCACCCGACACGCCGCTTTGCTTTTCACCGAATAAACGACGCGAACCAAACACCAAACGCGTTGAAAGCTGCCGAGAGAATGAATGAGTACGAGCACAAAATGAATGAGACTGACTGCTGGCTGCAGCTTTACAGCTCTTTATGCCTGCTACCATGTAGAGTGTAAGGGTATGTCGCATTCATGGAGATAGATGCAACATCGATAGATAGATGCTGCATCGTCAAATGCAGCAAAAGCCAAAATTATACTTTAACTGCACTAGTTTATGTTTAAGCATTTTAAAGTCTATAGCCTTAAAATTTGAGTCTAGTCCATAAAATCGGAGTGTTAGCTTATAGCTGTAATAGAGGGTATCGTATAGTCAGTACACACGACTCCAGTGCTATCTTGTAAAGAGAGAGAACGACATCATGTTGCGCAAAGTGCAACTGCGAAGAAGCATGGCCTACCCTCGGGCGCTGCCGTCGAAGTTCATTGAATTTTTATGCGACTTCGACTCGCACAGTAACGCCTATAAATACACAACGGCAGGAATGGTAGAACGGTAAATATTGGGGCCCGGCACGCGTTGAGCCACAATGAAAACAATCCTGCCCAGCCACCCACACGCTCGCACGCACACACCGAAGCAGAAAGAAAACCGAAGGAACCCCGCTTCCCATTGACGAAAATCGGAGCTGACACCGAGCGAGGTCACAAGGCGAGGGCGCCTGGTTCCTCTCTGTGCCAAAATCAATACTCACACGCTCGCTGGGTCACACGCACACAGCACACAATATCCAAGGCTGCGTTTAGCAATAATTTTCATCTATCGCACTAATTTCAGCCACCGTTTTTAATTTACTTTCACAATTTATTGCATAGGAATTTTCCGACGCGAATCCAACGGAATTTCAACGGAACGAATTCGGCGCAAAGCTGCAAAATAAGTGAACCAGTGTGTTCTGCACTGACTCAAATTTAGAACCTGGAACCCAATTCAGTTCTTTATGGTGGTATAACACTAGACTTTTCTTATAAATAACTATCTTCTTCTTTCTTGAAAGCCAGAGACAGAATGTTAAATGATGTACCCCTCTGCAGTCGCGTCGAAGAGTTAGGTGTATGTACTATTTGTCATTTGTGACAAATTAATTGTGACATTTAGATTAAACAAAATTGGATCGAAAAGTCAAGCTTTGGCATATAGCACTATAGCAATTAGACGTCTAGAAAAGTCTAGTGTCATACGACCATTAACTTTGTTGTTGAGAGACCAAAAAAGAGCGCAAAAGCTCAATTTGAGAAATTGGCATATATGTACATACATATGCGTATGTTGCATGAGAACGCAGGGTATAATTACTGTTAGGTAGGGACACATATCTTTCATGGCGGATTTCGATCATAAGCCATAAAGGTCGTCTTCGACTATACTTCAAGATAAGGCAGTGAGACCATAAGTAAACACCTTGAGGGAAAAGCATGCAGTGTGGCCGAGAGAAATATATGAGTTAGCTCTTCTTTAAAGCGAACTGGTAGCAGCGGAGTGGTACAGAGAGGTGTTCTAATTCTGTTGTGCATGCTGAAAATCATCCTTTCGGCTTCAATAGTGCCACAGCTCTTCCAGTTTAAGACTATGTGACGGCTATCAACCCTAATTTATAATTTTGCTTTATGCCATCTCCGTCGTTCCGACTAAATTGCTATAGAAGTGAAGTGCAATACTATTATTAGTAATTCTGCTAAATTGCAAGCCTTAAAGTTGTTAGAAAAATGATAACTTTATTTTAAAAACATGGGATGATTTGCTAGTTCTAAATTTGTTCACTAAGTTCTTCTCTTATCAATATGGGATCTATCAGAGAACCCCTTATGATTTCAATGAAAGGTTCAACATTAACAGTATCAACATTATGTGATAGATAGATTTTGATCTTCCCGCGCAGCTCTTTCTGTTCGCTCACCCAAGTCCGAACTCTATTAACAAAGGAACCGTCTATATTAAAGTTATTTCCGATATTGAGAACTTTTAAGTGCGGTAGTCCCTTAAGGAGATCCAGGAGTTGGTCATTCGTAATGCTTGGCATTGATAGGTGAAGGTACAGAAGGTTTTTCAGTTTCAGTAGGTCTGCCAAGGGTACGCTGTCACAGGATACATAGAGTTCCTTGAGTGTATAAATATTGCAAAGATGCTTAACCTGTTCTTCGAACAAATCGGGCCCGATCAGGATAAGGCTTTCCAGAGGAGAACTCCGTTTGTGGATCAATCCCTCGAAAAGAGAGCCGCGAACAGATCCGTCATGCCACACCTTCAAATGTTTCAACTTGGGCAGTTGGCAGACCAGCTCATAGGGCACCGTAGAGTCGAGGTATCCTACGCCAAAGGCCAGACGTTCCAGCTGTTTGCAGTTCCTCACTAAAATATCAAAATTGTTCTTAGTGATATTTTGAATACGGTATCCAAAGTCCAAATGCCGCAATTGCTTCATTAATTGGCAGCAATCCGCCAAGCTCTCGGCATCGAATCCATCCCAGTAACCGACTTCCAGAGATTCCAGTTTATCAAGAACATGCAATCCTCTTCCGTTATAGGAGGGAGCCTCCAAGTTCAGTTTCCTTAAACACTTGAATTGCTTGAGATTTTGAGCAAAACGAGTGCATTGCTTATCTACATCTTGAAAGTGCAGATAAGCGTGCAAAGATTTCAGATGTTTAAGGCTGTTTAGATCATCCCATCCGCCCCTAAACCGTCGAAAGGTCATTTTTAAATTTTCAAGATTCTTGCAGCAGCTCCGCAGGATCCACAGATGTTGATCGCCGTTCGAACTGTAATTCAATTCGGACTCATAGCTAACCAGATAATCGCCAACAAACTGCAACAATTTTTTCAGATCTTCGTCGCCAATCTTTCTCGAGTCAATATGTATGTACCGACGGCTTGCGTATCTCTTGAAAATCTCTCCAAAAAACACGTTCGAGGAAGCGAACCTTAGCTGGTCTTTTAAGTTGAGATAATCCATTATCTCTCTCCAGCAATCCTCGTTTAACACGAGAAAAGTTCTACGAGGCGTTCTCACTTGGGGTTCCTCTGCATTCCGTGCGTCTTCACTTCCAGAGAATTTTCTCTTTTTATTTCGAGCGAAAACAGATTCTCCCACATTACTAATAGAAGCTTGTTCACTCATTTGTTTCGTGCGTTAAATAGATATGTTCTGATCGTTTTGACACCCGTGCGCTGACTGAAAGAACCGGCATAGGAATCGGCGGAAAGTTATCAGCCCCAATGTGGGGTACTCCCCCTTTCAAGGGGGAATTTTCAACAAATATAGCAATAAAACGTAAAAAAATCTAATAAATTCTCACTCGCTCAGTTCATTCTGTATAATAAATAAATATTTGTATGCACATATGTATATGTATGTACGTTCTCTTATATTATTTGTTTAGTGAGGAGCTCTCTTTCTCCTCTCTTTCGAAGAAAACTCTCATATCTTGATACACAGTGCTGATATCAATAATACTATACATGTAAACATATGTTTGTATATAAAGTTAAAAGAACAAATCGCCTCTTTGATACATTGGGCAGATAAAATGCTGATTAGACCCTGTCTTGTTTGTTAGTTGACTGTCATATCTATCGAATTACTAATGAATATTATTAAGCTTAACCTTTATTATTACTTTATCAATCGGTTGCTGTAAAGTGCAATTTTTTTGACAATGTCGGATGCCCTGTCTCAAACTTAATCAATCAAGTACAAACTTTGGCAAATGCTTTGGAAAAATAGATAAAAGGAAAACAACAGTCACTGTAACATGTTACAGAAATAATCCAGAAATAAACGACTAGGCAATTCGTTCCTGCTCCATTAACGCTTCACCAAAACAAAAAACCACATTATAAATATTACAGGTATATTTGCATATTGCTTGTTTCTATATAATGCAATAAATAATATCTGGGAATATATAAAATATCATTACATTATCGGGACTGAACGATTTTGATAACGACAATCACATATATTAGGAAAAATGAATTCGATTTTCATTTATTACTAGTAAAATCCGCTTCTATGGGATTTTATAAATTTTATAATAAATTTTATAAATTATTGAGGAAATATTGGTAGACTTTCGTTCAAAACGGTTCTTTGTTTATTAATATGTGACCTGAATAACCCTGTAGTAATTCAACCAAAGGATTAACGTGCAGAACATCGTGTATATCTGTGTATCCGACAAAGATTTTGATCTTCCCGCGCTGCTTCCTCTGTTCGCTTGCCCAGGCACGAACACTTTTCACAAATGATGAATCGTTAAACTGTTTTATTTCATCTCGTAAATTGAGAACTTTTAGGTGCGGAAGCCCCTTTAGGAGGTCCAGAATTTGGTCAGTTGTAATTGGCATGGATATGTGGAGGTAGAGAAGGTTCTCCAGCTTCAGTAAGTCCGCCAAGGGTAAGGTGTCGCACGATACCTCGAGTTCCTTGAGTGAAGAAATATTGCATAGATGCTGAACCTGTTTCTCGGACAATGCGCAACCTTCCAGTATAAGACTATCCAGAGGAGAACCCTGCTTGTTGATCAACCCCTCGATGAACGAGTCGCGTAGAGAACCGCCATGCCGAACCTGCAAATGTTGCAGCCTGGGCAGATGGCAGACCAGCTCATAGGGCACCGTAGAGTCGAGGTATCCTACGCCAAAGGCCAGACGTTCCAGCTGCTTGCAGTTCGTGACCAGAATTTCAAAATGCTTCTCACTGAGGTTCTTAATATGGTGTCCATATTTAAGATACCGCAATTTCGTCATCGTTTGCCAGCAATCCGCCAAGCTCTGGGCATCAAATCCATCAAGAACAAACAGCTCCAGATATTCCAGTTGATCAAGAACATGCAATCCTTTTCCGTTATATCTGACAGCCTTCAACTCCAGTTTCTGTAGACATGGGAATTTCTCAAAATTATAAACAACATCCGTACTCCACCAACCGGCACCTTTTAATTCCAGATTCAGTCTGTTTAGATCGTCCCCACCTCCCCTTAACAGCGTAAGATTGATTTTCAGATTCTTGAGACTCGTACAGTGTCTCCCCAAGAGACACAGATGATGATAGTCCCCCAACTCGGAGTCGTAACTAACCAGATGCTCGCCAACGATGGGCAACAGTTGTTTCAGATAATCGTCGTTAATCCTACTGGCCAACGATTCATCAATATGTTTGTACCGACGGCTTGCGTATCTCTTGAAAATCTCTCCAAAACACACGTTCGAGAAAGCGAACCTTAACTGGTCTCCTAAGTCCAGATAATCAATTACGACTCTCCAGCAATCCTCGTTTAAATGGACAATTGGTTGGGTTTCCTCTGCATTCCGTGCGTCATCACTGCCAGAAAATTGTTGACTCATTTCGCTTCTTAAGTGTATGTTCCGTTCGTAGCCGCCAGCTGACTGAATTACTCGGCATGGGACCGGGCGGCAAGTTATCAGTCCTTTGGCTAGGTTTTTTGCCTAGAAATTTGGAGCACTTATAACATGAGATTAGATAGTTATTTGTATGTTGATTTCATGAACTTGGATTTTGTGTCGACATCGACGATTGCTACATGGAGCATTGGACAAGAGGGTGCAAGTCCAATCGCGCCTTTAAAAATACTGTATAATACTATGAAAAATATACAAATTTGCAAGGTGTGTGAGTTAGACACGGTGTTTGGACACCAGTTTAGACTAGCCGTGTTGCATCTTTTTCTTGCTTTTGATGGAGAAATTCTTACTTGCTGGGGTCTATCTGAATAATATATGTATTTACATATGTAATTTTGTATTTAATTTGCACGTTAATTAGGCTGAACGCCTGATTGAGTAGATCTCAAGCCCGATATTATAGCCAGGGCTATTATTATTCGTCAATTGCCAACTAAGTAAACATTACACCGTTCTTTCGTCTCTTTATCCAGCCTTTTTCGTTTCACTGCTGCAGTTACTGCATCTGAGCTGTTCTCGCGCCTGATCTCCATCTATCCTCATCGCAATGACTCTTACTTTCTATACTATTGTATTCTATTATTTATATTCTATCCTTACCGGGTATCGGATCAGTGTGCCGGCACGTATGCCCATTTAAGCGAGGAGCTAAAAATGTTAGCAGTGTCAAAGTATTATAATAAAATATTATGCGATTCGTATAGCCAGGTGATCTTGGCAAAGAATAAAACATATACATATATAACTATAAGCATTCGGCAAAATGAACTGGGTATTTATTTATTAGAGTACCATCAATGCATTTTTGTATGAAAATTATGCAAGAAAAATCTGCAGGTTTCCTAGTTCTGCTCTCGTTCACCTAATTCTTTGTTTATTATTAGGGCATCTTCGTCTGTATATAAATTATTGAGATCGATTTTGATCTACCCTTGCTGCTGCCTCTGTTCACCCAGGTACGAAAACTTTTCACCAAGTTCACTTTATCTATGCCATCGCAATCTAGTATATTGAAAAATTTTTGGTCGAGGAAGACCATTCATGACATTCGCAACGCTTGGCAAGTATATGTGGAGGTGTAGAAGGTTCTTTAGCTTCAGAAAGTCCTCCAAGGGGACGGTGTCGCAGCCTGGGCAACTGGCAACGTTGTTTGGCAGCAATCCAGCAACCTCTTGGAATCGAATCCATCAGATTAAGACACATCCAGAGATTTCAGGTGATCAAGATCTTCCGCTATATAAGGGAGCAACCTTCTTCAGTTCCGTAGTTCCAACTCCAGTTTCCGTAGACACATGAATTGCTTAAGATTGTTTACAAAATCCGCACACAAGCGAAGATGCATACATATATGGATGGAAGGTCTCACTGGAAAAGGAATTTGTTTGTCTTAAATGCACATAAATACATATATGTATTTTACCTTTATTCAAAGCCGGGTTAATGTCGGTTAACCTCGCCGAGTCACAATCGCGCTCCTTCTTCGGCACCGAATGCAATCTGAGATTGGTTTGGGTTTGTTTTCGATTGGTGCACCGCACCAATAGCAATAGTGTCAAGTTGTTAATAGCTCTATAGCTCGAGGGCTTAGTCAACGTTATCCCGGTTACCACAAGTTTCATATTTTAGGCTTTATTTCGTAGTTAAATAAAAAAAATAGTTGTTCAATTCGAAGGAGATCCCGCTGTTGTTTGCATATGTATAATTGTTTGTATATGAAAACATCGATAGTATCGATAGAGACAGTAGGACTTCGCGTGTTTTTGAATTAAAATCAAAAACCAATTATATGCTGGATAATAGTCTACAATAAACTAGGTTAATAGTTAATAAATAAATAAATTGGTCTGGCTTTCAAAAGTACTCAAATGCCTGGAATGGAATTTTTTTTAATATTTTATCGATGTCGAATAATGGCTTATTTAATTTAAATGAGTGCATGTCATGTATCCAGTCTATAAGAGACGATGGAAACGGCACTCATTTAGTAAATAATTTTTTTTTATGTCAACTTTTGAAGTCCACAACTAATTATGAATAAATTTATATATTAACTCCAAACCACAAATTTGATGGGACCATACTGCATATAACAATTATCGATAGTACTATCGATGAGCCTGCCAAAGCGCAACCACCTTCACGTCGCGCTGTCACTTCTTTCTCTTTTTCTCCTCCATCGACGGATTGCGGTCGCTTGATTTGTAAATTTTTACAAAAATGTAAGTAAAATCTATTATTTATTGCTTTAAAAAGTATAATTAACTGAGCAAATTATATCCCGTTTGCATTGCAGCACAACAAAATGGAAAACGACGCCGGTGAGAATGTTGATTTGTACGTGCCCCGCAAATGGTAAGTAGAACACGTGTTTCCCCGTCGCTCCATTGGATAGTGTTTTTAATGCCCCTGTGGTCTGGTCATGTTTACAGCTCGGCCTCGAACAGGATCATCCACGCCAAGGACCACGCCTCCGTGCAGCTGAGCATTGTGGATGTGGACCCCGAGACGGGCCGTCAGACCGATGGCTCCAAGACCTACGCCATTTGCGGCGAGATCCGTCGCATGGGCGAGTCGGACGACTGCATTGTCCGTCTGGCCAAGAAGGATGGCCTTATTACCAAGTGAGTGTGCTCTCATTCAGCAGTTTTTATATGATTTTCATTAATAATCTCGTTATTCTTTTCTTGCAGGAACTTCTAAATATGTCGAAACCATAAATCAGAAACATTAATTGGTAATAAAGTGAATTCCTTTTTGTAATTTAACGTCAAACAAGCTAAATTTGTGTTTTTCTTGTGGACTAAGCTGGTTGACATAGTTGGCATATTGAGGAATGGATCAGTAAAAATAACTTCACTTCAGAGGAGCGACCTCATTGATGATAAAATGAAATTGCAGCCGACATAAAGTGTCAAGTGCATGTGTAGTAGTCGCTTTAATCGGCCTAATGCGCTCTTTTTTATGTTCTGAACGACTGCCACCAGAGGCTTTCAATAATACTACTTCATATTACTACAATACTAAGGCACATTTTACGCCTTACATTTCCAGAACTTAATCAAGTATTTTTTCAACGAAAACTGGGGACCTTTGTTCCATGCCTAAATCTTCATTTTAAGTATCAGTTTTCGATTTCCATACTCCTCAATTACACGTTAGGATTATATACAATTTTCTGCAGCTCCCAGTGAAAACTACCTATAAGGTCCATAAAATTCAGTTTCTAGAAACGGTCTTTAGAGAACTGTTCCCGGCATTTTTTTTTTAGGACAACGATGGTATAATTGTAGAATTATAATTATACTTTCAATTTTCAATTCAATATTAGGAATATTAATTTCTGACGAAGTATTGAGCTCCAACAGGAAAAAAAGGATGTGAAATTTGTATAGTGTATAGTATATCGAACATTCCAAAATGTGAATTTTAAACTCCTGTTCAGTCAATTTGAACTAATCTGTTTAAATTCAAATGAATGATTTTATGTTTATGTATACATATGTACTAAGGGGTCAAGTCCCAACGTCAAGTTCAGTGTCAGTGTAAATAGTCCTATAATATGCTCACAATCCTGTTAAAAATCAATACAATCCCTAACCATACAGTACTCTATAATGATACAATGTTAAGTTCAGTCAGTAACGATTTGCCAGCTTTAACTATTTTCGGTATATTCAGCCAGGCTCCGTTTTTCACATTCCCAAAAGTTTTCCGATTTACTTTTGAATACACAGAAATTGGGGCTCCCGCTTTCACGTTCCGCAAGATTTATTCGTTTTCAAAACGAAAAAATGTTCGTTAACGAAATGAAAAATAAACGGCTTTTTATACAACGAAGCAAACCTTAATTGCAAAAGGAAAAAAAATAGATGACATATTGATGCATTAACATAAACTTGACTCCTATGTCAGGGTAATTTAACTTTTGCTTTCTTTAGGAATAATTTTATTTTAACCCAATCTCAAATTTGGCTCGGAAAAAATTGGCCAGGGAAACAAAAATTTTCGTTTTGGTGCAAACAGCAAAAATATGTTAAAACTGGAGAACTTTAAAACGTTTTGGCTGAAAACGTAATCCGCAAAAGTAAATGAAAAACGGAGTCGGCCTGAATCAGGTTGCAGTAGCATATGTATATTTTCTGAATATTTGGACGTAGAACTTGATTGGAAGGTATATTAACGGTATATAGGTATATAATTGTATATTTAAAAAATTTCATCAAACTGTTAAATTTAATTTTTAAGGGTATATTTAAGAAACTTCTTGAAACTTCAACACCCAGGTTTTTTAAGTTTTCGAGTTATTCCATTTAAATCATTCACTTTCAACAACTTTCTCTTTGTCGCGATAGGGTCGATAGCCGTTTGGTGGAATTTGCTCTATTTTCTTGGATTTTGCTTTCTTTTTCTTGGTAGAGTGATTTTTGGGTGGAGTGATTTTTCATTACAACAATTTCCCTGTTTACCTTTAACAGCATCCAGTATCCAGTAATTATCACTGATTTTCTAGCCACAATGTCAAGCTCTTTTAATAGTATTTTCCAGTATAATTTAAGACGTGCTATGGACTCACACTCTTGTCGAATGCACCAATGTGGAAACCGTGCACAAGTGCCATTTAGAGCCATGTCCCAGGCCACATCGAATACTAATTAACCCAGTCTTGTAGGAAATTAATTTATCAATCGGATAAAATTATGAGTTGACAGCTGAGGGTCCAAGCTAGCTGGTCATATTAAACCGAATATAAAAAATGGAACTTGAATACAATTAATTGGTCAGTATATTTACGGTATATTTTGAAATTTGTGACGTATGTTTTGGTATATTGCTGACGGTCAGACCGTATATGTTATCAATAGGTCCGCGGTTACACTGCTGTCGCAAAACTTATAAATTGTTCTCTTCAAAATTTTTAAAAACACCGCGAATCAAAATATACATAAACCTAAATAATATTGTGGGCAAATGTGACAGTGCTGTAGTTAGAGTAGTTTTAGGGCACAAGCAATCGGGGTGCTGCATATGCTGTATGAATACAAATAATGCGAAGTTTTGGAAAGGGGAAAGCAGAGTCCTGTGAAATGTGAAATAAATATATGCGAATAATTTATGTAATACAGTGCGTTTCAAAACACAAAAATAGAAACGGGAACTAGTGAAAACGAGAAAAACTCCACCAACAAAACAAAACAGTATTCGTTTGTAATCATCATATTCTTTTATTGCAAAAAGTATTAGGTGAGTCTTTGTTTCGGGGAGGGTGAGTGTGTTCGTGTGCTATAAGCATAAATATCATAACAATCATGTTGCTTTCCTAAGCCCTCAACGTTGTCGCGTCATGCGTTGTGACTCATTAGAGAGGGATTCCAGGTGCACTCCAGGTTCCCAGACCAACCTGAATCATTCCCACCTTTGATATGCTTAAGCCACATACGAATATGAGAATTGTCATCAGCTTGCACTAGACTAGGGGAAGCGCTGCCAAATGTTCGGTCTGTTAAAACTGGAACCAATAGAGGAAGACTTACATACTATACATATGTACATATGTATAAAAGATACCTCTCGCTATTTTCTTCTTATCAACCCCTTGATGCCACTTTTTGCGCTTCAACGGGTTCCACTGTGCGCCTACGTTCGACTCGGTGCAGCTGCACCTAAATTGCACTCAACGCGCACTCAGCGCCAAGCGAACGCCTCCCCTCCCGTCACTCCCTCTCTTTCTCAGTCTTCTGCGCCTCGTCATTCGCCATAAGTAACGGCATGTTTTTAACTTGTATGTGGATACATACATTGTATGTATGCATACATACAATAAAGATATTTTTGTGTGCCGGTGTGTGCGTTCATTCACTTTTGCGCATTTTTATTGTTGTCGTCTCTGTATTTTTATCATTTTTAGCCACCAAAACTGTAATTATCTCGCTTTCTGCCCCTGCCGTCTGGCTCTGCTTTCCCAAGAATTATTGTCTATTTACTTGCACCTAAAACCTGATTGCTGGGTACAGGGAACCCTTACGTTCAGCGACGACAAGCGGCAATAAAATAAATTGCTTTGCATGAATGTGTGTATCTACGCAGTACACATTCGATATAAAGAGCTGATAAAAAAATTAATCTACTAAAATGAAAGATGCGGTAATATTTTACCTCAGATCTCTTTGACAATGTAATAAATGCGGTATAGCTTTTTAAATTGTATTCCCTAAAATCCCACAAAATGATGCCAAGTTATATATTTCTTCAAAAACATGCAATTTCGAGCATATCTGCTTGTCTTCACTGTGCCCCCTGACGCGAGACGAGATCAAAGCCCCTTTTCACTTTCCACATCATCGTATACACACACTCACACACGCGCAACACGCAATTCCCTGCCTCCCTCCAACTGACGAGTCGCTGACTGACACGGCCAAGGCGTTTCATTTAAAAGTGATTCAATCAGTTTAATTGATCGCACTCATACTCGTCTGTCTCCATCTGTGTGTGCATGCTACGTGCAGCGTGCACCTACGTACATATATTTCAATTTTATTGTTTGCATTTATGATTTTTCTGCAACACTCGCAAAGTTCCCCCTCCCACCCCATGCAAGCGAAAAGGAGGGGCAGGTCAGTGCAAAGAGTCAACTTCTCCGCTCGCTCGCCTCGCCCATCCACTTAAATCGTTTACAGTTACTTCGATTTGGTGTGCGTGGCTATATTGGTGTCTTCTTTCGTCGCGTTGCCCTTTCAGATGCCGACGGCACGCGCTGAGCGGCTTGGGAGAAAGGGAGACGGCCGCGAGGAGGCAGTATGAATTGTAAATGTAGGCAGAAAAGTCTGTTGTATAAAATTACCCGATTTTGATGGCGGTGCCGGTCGGTGTGGGAAATGAATACCGACAGTCGACAGTCGTCGGAATGGGGATTTATTTGATAGCCTAGACTTTGAATATCTCCATTATACATTTTTCGTTTTGCTTGGTCGAAAATATATGTACATACAGTACAGAAAAATACCATGTGAATAATCTAAATATCAGATGTAAAGCACGCCTCAAACATCCTTAGACTTGTCCACATTTTCTTAGTCTATTGAGGGTCTTAAACCCCAGTTTCAGACTGGTATCCCATTATCGAACAAATGCATTCGTTTCGAATGGCGTATCAAAAAGATACAGATGTGGCATAAAAACGTATCACACGGCGATGAGAAGAGTAATTGCAAATGGAGAATGTTCATTTTAGGGATATGTTGGAACAGAGAAATCAATTTTTCAATGTTCTAGCCTCTACAGACATTTTCGTATACGTTCCAAAGATTTTTATTTTGTCATCAGCTGAAAATTGTATTCCAGAGTAATCTAGAATTGTTGGTGGAATTTACGTATTAAAACATATTTTATATGAAACTATAATCTATAAGACACATTACGATTTACGATTATTAAGACGATATTCATTTTGCCGAGCATTTTTTAATTTATCTGATACTCGTGATTTCAAGCAATTAATTCCTTCTTTAGACTTGGACTTTGCATATTATTTCTATATGTTTGACCTTTAGACTTTTCGAAGACCGTCAGTGGGTGTCCACTGATAGTAGCAGATACCAGAACTCAATTTGAATTCCTCCCCCGCTCCAGTCCCTCTATTCACTGACTTTCTTTAGAGTCACATTTCTTATTTTGGTTTTCTTTTTTTTTTCGTGGCGACTTTGATTGTACATCTAACAGCTAACATCAGCGCTTCTCTTTCAGCTTACGCTTAGCACTGCTCAGCGGGTCAGAATTTGCCATAGTATTCTCCCCTCAGCCCCCAATAATCATAGCACCCAAAATGGACGGTACTGCTTTGTGAGTATTTAGTAGATGGTGCTAGGTGTGCTGCGCCCCGTGCCCAGAGTTGTTCGTTCTACCCGCATGACCACCCATCCGACCTGTTCATCTAGTATTTACCCTGCATGGAAATAATCTACATTTGTACTATGTATTTAGTAGTTTTATCTAGTAGTATACGCGCTCCCTTGATTTATGAGAGCTGTGCGTAATAAACAACTATTTATCGAACGGCGGAATCGAACTCGCTGGATTTATTTACATACATATATCTACAAATAGTACTCGTACAGCCACCCAATGATAGATTAATTCCCTGGGTTTGCGAAATGTCTAGAACTATAATGAAGTTTATGGGGAATACAATATTGTTGGTGCGATATAAAAAGTTCGAAATTCATTGACCTTTGTGCTTCATCAGTATACATATGTATTTATATATTCATCATCCGTGCCTTCGTGGCTGAAGCTTCCCTCTCTCGCTCGCTCGCTCTCTCTTCCAGTGCAGCTTAGCAGTTAAGGGTGAGCTTTCATATCCGGCATGAAATCGAATAGAGCACGACACCTTTTTGTTTTACCTCTAAAAAATATGTTTTAAACGGACTCTGTTGCACACGAAAATGTCGTCATACTGCGAAATTTTTTGGAATCAATTTCATAGTTTTTTGTGTATCTCTTACTGGATTTTATCTCCGTTTGTCGTCACTACTAACTCTTTGTATAATCCTTAGAAATGTGAAAAGATCGATGATGGGAGACCAAAATTCGCCCAAGAAATATTTCACTCTATGTAAATTAAATAAAAATTTAATGTACATGCGATTGATTATCATTGATTTTTAATAACCTATTGACCCACTGACCCACTACTCCTTCAGAACTGCAACTGTCGGAGATAATCGGTATATTTTCGCTTGCTTGCGGTTTCATTAGTGGTTTTTGCAAGCAGTGCAATACGTAGCTTTATGGAGTATAGCCAATAATCAGTTCGAATTGTCACTGATGACTCACAAAACCAAGCTTCTTCCTCTTCATACAAGTAGTTCTTAGTCATGTTTTTTGTGTCCATATTTAAGGCAATCCCTCAAAAGTGATCCTATCTAAGCAGAATCAGCCTCCAATATTTGAAAATAAATACATTTATTAGGGATATGTACATACATATATCATTAGGGGTCAAACCCCGTACGCACTCGCCTCGCTCGTGCGCTAACCCCCGGCGTGGAGATGAGTAAAGTATCGCACGACGACCCAAAACTTATTTATACAATAGAGAGATTATTATAAAATTATTCTCAGTTTATTTTGGTCACTGGTTTATAAAATGATAACTCTTCTCTTTCCGTTATGCTTGCAATTTTTGTATTCGGTTGCTGTTGGCTGTACTCGTGTTCGTGAGAGAGGGCGTGAGTGACAGGCTCGGTCAGAGAGGATTGCAGGCCGTCATCGCATTTAGTCCTTGGTGTTGTTGTGTGCACGGCAGAGAGAAAAGTATCTCATTGAGGGTAGAAGGCTTCGCCAGACATTTGAAAGAACGCAGCGCCATTTGCAGGATAAAACAAGTGATTATGAATGAGAATTGTAGTGGAAATCGGATGTAATGCGAAACCCAGACATTTACATAAGCCCGACAAATGAATTCATACATTTTCATACAATGACTACGAGTTTGTATTCACTTGTCACTTTTATTCACATTGCTAATAATTTCTTGTTTATGAATATAATTTTTGCGAAATATTTCTTCATTCGGAAATTGTCAATAATTGTCCCAATTAGCAGCCCGAGAGGAGCGCGTTGCACGATTCACGTCGCTGCTGCTGGGTTTTCTGTGGGATTATTTGAGTTTTCCTTTTGATGAAAACTAATGACAGCTAAGTGAAAATTAATTGACTTATATACGCCAAACAGGTCGACTTTTAGGCGCCCAGCACTGCGACGGCCCACAAGAGTTAATTTAATTTAAATTTGAAGGTCGTGAGTGTTTACTTTTCAAGTAAGATTGGGTACGGTTGGGTTCGATTGGTGATCATGGTGTGTTCTCTGCATATTTATTCTAGCTATTATCAATCAAGCAACGCACGTAGAACCCGCGCTGGCCCCAACGAACCTTGAATATTTATTCTTCGAGAGTTGTTTGTGGTCTGCCTGTAAGCTTTATTTTCGACGAGACTATTTCTGTGGCTGTGCTTTCGAAATATTCCATATAAGTATATACACATACCATGAACTCCAAGACCTCCTTTATGACACGCACACATTTCACAGTTCGAGGAAACGCCTCTTGATTAGGACAGGTTCCTCCTCGTTCTTGTTTAATGAGCCCCCTTGGGGGGTAACCTTTAGCTCTCGCCCACCAAGTCGAGTGGGTATAATTTTCACATTAGTGTTTTCCTTCGCAGAGATTTTCCTTAATTTGTTTTGTGGGCGTTGTCTCAGACACGCCACCTCCTTCAACACGAATTTGTGGACTTTGTACTTAACGAATAGGCCAAGATATTTATGGAAATTAAATTCGAGTATACGAGCGCTTACACGTGTGTGCCTATGGGCCGAGAGCGTGATCAAATAGAAATTATTAACAATTTATTGTATAATTAAATGGAAACTGGTTAAATGGCATACACATTCGCCTTTCCTTGCACTCGTATTGTTCGTATATGAAGAATCTGCCAAGAAAGGGAAGGGAGGAGGGACGGTATTTATCGGAGACCTGGAGAGACTGCTTGAGTATCGTCGCGACTTCCAACAACATTTCATGTTTGAACTATCAGTTCGAGCAAATAAAAATACATACATATAAAACAAACATCTCTATATCTAGCGTGCATTCAACCAGAGGCCCTGAGATCTCGTTCTCTTCGAGTCTCTCTCTCTGTCTCTCCTTTTTCAGTTGGCGCTACTTGGATCCAAAAACCAGTTGAATGTAACTCTCAGCTGCGGGCGGCTACAGCCAAAACAAGTTTACAATTTTTAGTTTTTTTTTTTCTAAACTTGATCGGCTTTGGCTCTGCAGTGAGTCCCTCACTGTCGCACTTATTGTACATATGATTAGCCAGCGTGGGGAGATTGAAAAAGATCCGAGAATATGTACATATATGTACATATGTATGTGTGTTAAAATGCACAAGGCCGAAGCCCGAAGCCCCGACCGACTGAGGGGCGCTGCCGCATGACGCGTTTGAAACCAAGTCTTCGGTGCGTATTTTGTAGTTAACAAGTGTTAAATGAATGCGATTCACATTCACATGATGTCAACAATGTTGTACATATTTATTTTAATTACCCAAAAATCAACCGATAGGCTGCAAATGGCTGAAATTAAAAACATGTGTGCCATGAGGCATGAGGCCGTGCAATTTATATCAATTTTCAGAAGTACTTATCGAGGATAAAAAATAAACAACGGAAAGAACTCGCTGTTGTGTTTGTTTATGGAAGCGTTTATTAAGCCGACATATTGTGATGGAAATTAATTGCCGAGCTGCGGAATTTAGGGACCAGTAACCGCTCCACCACCAGTAGAGTGCGCGCGCTCGGAAGCTCTTTCCCACCGCTTAAGAGAGAGAAAGAGAGCGAGAGCGTCGAAGAGAGAGCGAGAGAGATAACGCCCTGCTACTTGTTGAGTCATGCATACGCGCTCATGTGTGTGCGTCTCTTCGGGGGCCCCGTGGAAGATCGCGCTGCTCAGTCTTTTCCGCCTCGCGCCGATGGTCGTTCGGGTCGCAGCAGTGTTCTACAAACTATTTATATGCATATATAACTATTCCGACTATCCATATGTACATACATATGTCCGACAAGCAAACAAAACTCATAAATAGTGTATCTCTGTGTCCATCGAGTGTGCAGTGCGTGTGTCTGTGTGCTATTTTCGAGTTGTAATACATACAAAAAGAAAATCAAATCAAAGGAACGGAAAGGAAACGAAAGGAACCACTGGAAGAGCATGACCTCCGCGTAGCATGCCACAAATAAAACCGAAAGCAAGGCGCAGAAAAAGGAAATTCATTATAATGGTGTGTGTTTGTGTGTGTGTGTGTGTGTGTGCTCGTTATCAGACCATCTGTGTAATCAATTGATTGGCACACCTACCTACCGCCCACCCTCTTATTGGGCAACGCTCTTTGTTTTTTTGTTTTTTTTCAACATTTGTATGTATTGTTTTTGTTTCAATATTTCCGCTCCAATAAACCGCGAGAGCCCCCAAAAGCGCCAGAGCGCCCTTTGCCCGTAGAAAGCAGTGCATTTCACAAATACATACATACATATGTATAAGACTGATCAAAATATCCTCAATTCAAGTGTAAACCGGACTATCGAATGAGCTCATTCATCGAGTCAAGTGCAGCTATCGAATCGTTGGAAATATTGACATTTTATCAATTTTCAATCTTATCAGCTACAGTATTGATTTGCTATGAAAGTGTGTGTTCTAGTAATTGATTAATATCTATCAAATCAATGTTTAAGTCCACGAATCCACAAGTTTTGCAGTAAACGATGGTGCTGTCCTCCACAGTGAGGGGATTATGTATATCCCATTTTTGTGAAACGCACTGTGCTTTAATTTTCAGCTGAAATTCGCTCTGCTCGGTTCGCCTTTTGTCGCGTTTGACTTTTGGGTTGGCTTTATCTTATCGCCCGTCCGTCCGTCCGTCCGTCCATCTGTTGGCGACCAAAGTAGAGTCTCGCTGTCGGTGTCGTTGTTTTTGTGGATTTGTTGTTGACAGCAGAAAGCAACAACTAAGACAAGTAACTAAAATGGAAAAAAAAAGCATTCATTCCATATACAGTGTATGTACATAACCTTAGCACCTTATACACTCGCTTGGGGTGTGCTTAATTTATTATTTGCTCTTCAAAAAAAAAAAAAATAAACAAATAAAACGTTTGCCAAATATGAGAGAAACATGGCTAATAAAGACATGTTTGTTTGAACCAAGAATAATGGTATTTCAGGGGTATATCGTGTCCGTCATTTGACAGAGGAATGGGCGGAGTATAAAATTAAGTATATACCAAGTAATGTTTGCGGTTACTCGTATTTTGAAAACTTTATTTGATGATCGGTTACAAATGTCAAGTGAGTAATTAATGAGCGCAAGGCTAGTACAAGATATGTGACTGCCAATCGACGGATCACCAAAAGACTGTACTTAAGATACCCAAACTCCCGATCTCGAGCCCTCTCTCGTAGCATCCGGGCTGGTCAGGGAATCTGCCTACTCGACGATCTTGCAGAAGTCACTCCGCCCAGTGGCCAATTTATTAATGCATATTTATTAAATGTACTTTGAGGTCTGTTTTGTTACATTCCACGCTTATGCGTGACTGGCAATTGTCCGCTGAAACAGCTGATTTTGTGGTCTCTTAAGCCTCTTAAGCGTATTACGAATATCTACTGGCTTAACTTGTTTCTATATTATTTACGATCCTTGTGAAATTATTATGTATCATGTAATTATTACACAAAACCCTAGAGACTGCATGCCACCCTAGTGGGATAGGATTATTTGATATTTCATTTCGAAATAGAGATATCCGTGAAGCTGTTTTTGGTAGTTGGGCAAATTATCATCAACTATACCTGGGTCATCCGAAACGAATGTGTCCGCTCGCTTATGGGTAATTTGTACATATCGAATCAATGTCATTTCAACATTTAAACACTCTCTCTACTACCACTCTCATACTGCTATCTAAGCTCTGTCAGAGTCCGTATTATTTCCGCAATATTTAGTCAGAACTGAAAATGATTAAATTGGAAGAAAATAAGATTAAGAATTGTATACAATTCCTTACAAACTAGGGAATTACAAAGAAACGTCTTAATGGCGAATTTAATTTACTTACTAGGGTCGTAAAAGCCTTTCAACGAGAGAGAACAGAGAATGTGAGCATTCCCTGCCAACCGACTGCTGGGTAGAATATTACTCGAAACATTTAACAGCAGATTGTTTACTTAAACGGGCCATAAACATTGTTTCCAACCGTCACGTAAGAGAGCAAAACGCACCTCCTCACCCTACCTCGTACATAGTACGAGTGTACTGTGTATTTATTTGCGACTCTTTCTCGGAAAGTATTGTTATCGCTGCGCTCTAAAGGCGAGAACCTACAGACTTGGCCTATTAGAAACCAATAAACCCACAACTAATTGGGAAGCACACAAAAAGTGTTGTTAGTTGCCTTTTTACGGATTGCAATTGAGTGTGGAGAGACCCTATCGAACAGTGCACTCGCACCCATTCACGAGTGTTCAACGACTCAGCATCTCGTGCGCCTTAATTGCTTGAATGTGGAACGACAGCTCAATGCTCAATGGATTTGCCTGATGTCTGAATGTCTCTCTCAGTCGCAATGTTGAATGCTTTTGTGTTCTGTGTCTGATATTTCTGATATTGTGGGTGTCAGGTTGCTGGCAGGCATTATTATCGATGCCCCTACATGTTTGTGTGTTTTCGTATTACTTGATTGATGGATGGATGGGTGGTGGGGACGGGACTCGCATAATAATGCCCCCCTTTGAAAACCACTCTCCCCGTTAGGACGCCCAAGTGCTGCCAATTTCATTTTCATTCTGTTGGCGCACAAAACCCCCTGGAGTGGAGGACGAATCCCACTAGGGTTATTCACCATTTGATTTGGAGCTACAAATATGTATCTATTGGAAAGGTTGAATGGGCAGAACCTTTGAATATTTTAAATGAAAAAAAACATCATGTATGAAACGGGAGTCGAGCATCACTTGACCCGTGTCATGCACAAGCAATGTATGTTGTTTTATCTCGAGTCGGGTATCCATAGGCCGTTTTTTGTTTTATTTTTCAATAAATCCTCAGATAAAGTTAAAAAATGAATGCATTTTAATTTCCTTTTAAAATTATGTTCTGGAATGAGTGACGCATGTATTGTAGATTATACGTTTTTCCTTTGAGTACCCCTAATGGCTCTGCGGCTTGTTTGCTTCGGAGCTGGCCCCAAGTACGGCCGGCCCTGAGTGGTTCGGATGGGTAAACATTTGCATTTTCTTTTAAAACGAACCCAGACAAAGGCACAGCCCAGACAAGAATGGGAATGTTTTTACAAAAACGAAACCCCTCATGGAAGCGGCGCCCCTTGGACCCTTGTACCCATGAACCCATGAGCCCCGTAGAACTTTTTTGTTGGTTCATCTATCGGTTAACCCTTGGAAAATTAACTAACAGTCCCTCACCTCTTTTTTCCCGCTTTTCTTTGCAGTTAATGTAATATAGGATGCTACCCAGCTTTGATACCTTAATGCGTTGCTCGAAGCGCGTTCTGCAATCGCCACTGGAGGCGACTGCGACGGCCAATCTCCAGATGCGGAATGGCCACAGCAAGGCACCGGCCGGTGGCCTCTACGGCCCCTTCACGCCCGACAATGATCTCAGCTGCTCCGGACGGGGGGACTGCGTGAACAATACCTGTGTCTGCGACATCCGGTATGCCGGCGACGAGTGCAACTTCTTCAATCTGCCGTACTACGCCGGCATCTCCACCGTCTTCTATGTGGTGGCCCTCGTCTCTGTCATCCAGCTGCTCATCTGCATTGTGGCCGAGTACCAGCGCCTCAAGCAGCCCTCGGTCCTCAGGGCTTGTCGCATCACCACCCAGAAGCTGCTCTACTTTATGGTCTTCGTGGCGGCCTCGTTGCGTGGAGCCTACTTCACCACTCCGGTGAGTCCCTTGCAATCAATCGCAATTAAATATACGACTAACATTGTAATTGTATACATTTCAGTTGGATCTACAGCCTCAATGGGCCGTAACCCTGATGTCCGCTTATTATCCATTGCTCATGACCTGCGCCTCCCTGATCGTCTGCATGTGGGCCGAGGTGAGTGCATTACCACGACAAAACTCTCTTCCAAGAATACTCTTGAATACTCGGAGGTCAAGAAGTTGATAACTATTCGGTGTAATAGATGACTAAGTGGAACTTGTGACAATCTAAAAATGTTTTCTTACGTCGGGGCTTTCAGTATCTATTGATTATTGAGTGGAATATCAGAAGACTGTACCTCAATAGATGGCAATAAACGTATAATAAAGCACACTCTTGTGGCACGCACGTGGGAATAAAGTCACAAGACTCCATTATAGGCTATAGAGAGATTGCAGATTTTATCTGTAGAAACAGGAAAACCATAGGGATAGCCAAATGTAGTGCCCACGATCCACTGTCAATCGGTGGGCCCTTCGTTGCTCACTTTGAAGCTTGAAGTGCAACAACAGCATACATTGCGTGTGCATGATTCATGATTAATGGTCTCAAAAGTGAACTATAACGTTCTTTCTCCGAAAGGTTACCTCTACCTTCCCCCAAATGTCCTCTAGTACGTGCGCCTAAACCCAATTTAACGCATTTGAATATAGATAACACCTACAACGCGCACAGTCGTAGATAACGCCCATGGCCGTGGCTGCGCCTGGGACTGCGCCTGGTTATAAATACACTCTATAAATTTCTTTGATAAGGCAGAAGCTGGGTTATATTTCCAGTCACGAGCGCATCTCTATGTTTAGGAAAAATAATCAGCCAGCACCCAGTCCAGACTAAAATTAATCGCGCCTAGGCCATGGGAATCGGAAGAGCAGAACCCTCTTAACTATGGTGGGAACTGTGAGCGATCGTAACTCTGACTAAGGTGAAAATTGTGTGAAGTGGGCGGTGGGCGGTGGGCGATGTGCGGTGTGCGGTGTACGCGGTTGTTTCGCTTTTTAATATCGACTGAAGTACGGCTGTACTTGGGTAGCAGTAGGTGCAAGTGCACCTAGAACTCAATTGTTTTTGCTACACTTCTGCGCAGCGTATCTTGGGGTCCGGGGACCGGGCCCGACACCGCGACCGCGACCCATATATTGATAGGCCAAACAGCCAGCGGACAGGCAGAGTACACAGTTTCTATTATACGCGAGCATTAATTAAACTTTGAATCGGCAATAGGTGTACGGCGGTCTCTAATTGGCATTATTCATTCATTCGTTGATGCGGACTGTTTCAGATCTTTCACCTGCGCGACATTCGCTGGGAGAAGTCGCAGTTCCTTTCGAAGAGTTTCCTCGGCTTTGTGGCCTTCAACTTCTTCCTGTACAGCCTGTTTGGCATCGAGGTGTTCAGCTCGCTGATCAACGCGGAGCGGCGGGACTACGCGCACATATTCAATGGCTGCTATGCGGTATTACTGCTGATCGTGGTCGTCTTCTTCCTCATCTACGGCGTGGAGGTGTTCTTCAAGCTGCGCGGCGGCTTTGTCTACGACCAAACGGGCAAGATCCTGGGGCCCAGCGAGGCGATCGTGAACGCCTCACAGCTCCACCAATCCCGCTTCGGACTCCTCAGTCAGGCCGTTATGCTCATCGTGATTGTCGGCTTTCTCACCTCCGAAACTCTGGGCGATTTCTGGAAGACCAAGTGAGTGGATAGAAGCACGAAAAGTACTTTCTAATGGATACTAAAACCAACGTTTTTCCTCTGCAGGGTTCCTGTGAACTCTCGCAACTGGCATGACATCATTTTTCGTATTGCTGAGATCGGCGTTGCTCTGTGGTTCCCTTGCTGCCTGTGGAACTCGATGGCGCCCGAACAGCTCTGGATACTGAATCCGCGCAAGCTGCTCTCGCGCCAGATTGATCCGTCGATACCCACTCTGAATGCCGACACCAATAAGCTCTCGCCCGAGGAGGGTCAGTCGTTCCTGGCGAAAAAGGATTGCTGGATATGCTACGACAATGACAAGCCCGAGCCCCTAATCCAGCCATGCCGTTGCACCGGCGACGTTAGCTCTGTCCACCACGAGTGCCTCAAGCGCTGGCTGGTCGAGAGCTGCAGCAAAACGGAGGCCCAGCTGTCCTGCAAGGTGTGTGGCCATCCCTACGAAATTGAGAAGTCCAAAAAGTGAGTATATGCCACACATCTGTGACACATCGAAATCGAATGCTTATTAATTCAAAATATTTAAATCATTCGACAGACTGGAGTGGGACAAGGGCTTCACCATCCAACACTGGTCCAAGACAGTGATACTGATCACACTGATGTGCGTGACGGGTGCCACCGCCTGGGTGGTTATCCAAATGTACGTGGACCCCCTGGTGCGGGTGATGACCGTCGGCGTAGCCGTCCTCATTGGCTACGTGTGTGTCAAGTGTCTGGGCGAGAACACCGTGGTTGCCTATCAACGTGCCAAAGTGAGCTCGATTAACATTGTGACCAGCTCGGAGATGGAGAAACTCCACACCATATGCGAGGATGTCAGCGCCGCCAGTACATCGGCAGCCGCAGCACCGACTGGCGCTGCCTCTTAATGGTAGAGCGCCTGACAAGCAGACGAGAGAGCGAGCGAGAGAGAGAGAGAGAGAGAGAGAGAGTCTATGCCATAAGGAACCACATCAGCCACACCACATCGGCAGCGCAGATCAGCAGAACTTACAGACATTATTACTTACTTATTGTATCTAGTTTAGAATGCGTTTTGCACACGTTTTGCTCAATGCTCAATCACATCACACCCTCCCCCCTCAACCGTGTACATAGGTTTACGAAAGAAAGGAAAGAAAAAAGAAAGCGAAACGAGACGAGACGGTAGCGAAAGCCGTCGGTTTCGATTACCGAGTCAATTGTGTCTCTCAAATTATCATGCAGATTTCCAAAAGCGAAATGTATTACAAGAAGCCAAATATTATTAGTCTCTAAGCATATAAGCCAGTATCACTTACACGAAAGAAACACGAAACACGAAAAACGAAACGGATAGAAACATCTTGAGATTATGAACGCGTTGCCAAGTAGCCTGAAGAGCGAGCAGAGAGTAAGTAAATAGATTGAGATAGAGCTTCGATGCGCCAGCGATCAGCCCGATCGTAGGTCTGATCTGTAGTTTATAGCCTACTTTTATTAACAATTAATTTATGAAAGCCTTTTGCATTTCATCCACTTCATGAACCGCCCCTGTCCTTTGCACCAACACACAACTTGGCGAATATTAGTTTAAGCGTATAAGTTTTAACTTTGTATTCTGTTGGAATAAGCGTATTAATTCCTAAGCTATAAAGGTCCGTAAAGGATTGTCATAATTTATCTACCACACCCACACACACACACACACACACACACAGAGCATACCCCTTAAATATATATATTAATATATTTGTACTATATGCTATATGTAATGTACATTTTATTGTATCCGGAACATACAATTTGTCAAAGCAAAGTAAAACGAAACAAAACACCCACAAAGATTTACATACAATTTAAGCTACCATACATACAATTTTTTGTGATAAAAACAAACAAGTTAATAATAATTATAAAATTTATAAAATTCCAAATTTCAATTCTTTTTGATGACCATGGGGATTATTGGCCCTGACTGGTGGAAATTCATGGAAATTGTTAGTATTGTTGGAATACAAATTTGAAACATTATTGAATTTCTCTTGGATGCATGAACATTCATATAGTATGTATGAAGGTATTTCGGATCATAAGAGCATTTTTTTTTAGAAAAATGGATATTGACGATCATTGATGGCAGACTAAAAGAACCTTTACTTAATTGTTTTTGAAAACAATTTATTCGTTAACTACCAATTCTTATTTTCTATATGCCAAAAAGTTCTTCAAATAAAGTATGAACGTGTTGTATTTTGACAGATTTGCAAAAGTTCTTTAGAAGAAGGAGGAGGAGTCCCTTAGAAGAGCCTGAACAAGACAAATATAATGCTTTTATAGAAAGTCAATTTACTTTTCGGTGGATACATTCCATCATATAAAACTTTGGATCTTTTTTTCTGTCATTTTCTTTTATTAGGAAAAAAATATTAGCAATACCTCTTCGTGGCCATTTTCGAAGTGAATATGGACACAAAATACAGGAAGAAAACATCTTTTATTTTAGAAAATATTTGAATTTTTCTTGGGAATAAATTCCGATTGTAGTATTCCGATTAATCAAAGATTTAGTTGAATAATCTTTGGAAACTTTTACAAATAGATGAATGTTGGACAGGCAATTGTTTGCTGGTGTATTTGGATCAATTGGATTGACAAATCTATCCGCCGAAACGCATTTAAAAGAAATACCTTTCAAGCTAGATTTACAAATATACTCGTGTGTTGGCCAGACCGATTCTGCTGTATGCAGGAAGGATTGTTGAAGGATTTTCGTTTCGCTTTCTTAAGCGCTTTCCAGTGCCGCCCCCATACGAGACCGAGAACAAAGCCCAGACAGAAATGCATTTCATTGAGTTTTTAAGCCTAAAGTTATTTATTTTACATGTAATGTCTATAAAATAAATGTATTTATATAGCTTATATAATATGCATAATAAAAAGCATAGTCGATCTTTGACTAACTTTAGTTTTTTTCGTTTTTTTATTTTGTTTTGAACTACTTTTAGCAACGACATCGAAGCAGAAATAGTTTTGTTTTAGATTCTATATATAAAGTATATGTAGGTTTGGATGTATATATTTAAAGTGTAAATCAAGATCAACAACGTAAGAGGCATGTCCCGCCCCAGCGCCCCGAAAGCGGGGAGTCATGCGACGAGTACAGGCTAAATTTCATATACATAACAACAAAAGATGTGCAATAATTCAGATCGAAGCACACACAATTCAATATTGTGTTAGTGCTAATATTTTAATAATAATGGCCTATGCTCGTGTTTAGTGCTTATAAATATTTTCTTTCAATTGTGTTGCATTTGCTGTTTTTCCAGAAACATATCCTAAATTTAGACTTAGTTTCAGCTTTGGCTATGCTATGCCCTGTTCAAGCTACAATTAGAATAGACACAATTCAACTAGCGGGTCGTTGGCTATGGGATTTTGAGAGGTTTCGTTTTGTTCTGTTTTGTTTTGGGATGCTGTTTCGCAGTTTGGGGAGTAGGGGATTGGTTTATTTCTGCAGCTTTAAGTGACGACGGCCGATCTCTTGTCCCGATTCTTTCCACGCGAAATGGAGCGTGCCTTGAAGGCGGCAGCGTTCACCAGATGCTAAGGGATGGAGATGAAGAAACCTGTTCGTTAGAGAGATCCTAGATTTCTGATCAATCAACTTACGCGCTCCAGCTTGGTCGGCTTGATCTTGGCATTGCCATTGATGCCAGTGTTGGTGGGACGCGCTCCCAGCTCGAAAATGTCGCGTATGAACTCGTTCTCCTGCAGCTGGGAGGTCATTCCAGGCCCCATCACTGTGCAGAGGGCCGAGTACTGGTGGTGAATGGACCATGAATCCAGTGTCAAGGACTCCGTGCCAAAGCGAATGTTGATTTCCGGAGAAATGTCCTCCTGAAATAATACACAGAACATTTTTCGTAACATCGAATAGGCATGGAATGGAAATTCAAATCAATTTTCGATATTTTGTAAGGGGAAATGCTAATTTTCCTCATTTTAAGTTTTAGTTCCGTATAGAATAGACCAAATTCTATGATCAGATAAATTTTTGTAGTAAAAAATAGTAACCAAAAAAAGTGTACAAAATTCCAAAAATAAAAAATTGATTCAATTTGGTTATCGTTTCTTGTAACTTTTGCAACATTTTGAATTCTTTTCGATTGAAATGCTGGTGACCACATATCAACATGACTACGTTCCGCCGAACGCCAAGCGATACGAGTTCCTCACCAGAGCCAAGGGCTTTGAGGGACAAGAGGGCGCAAAGGTCGTCGAATGTCAGTGTATTGATGAGGAGAAGATCAAGGTGCCATCTGATGCCTCGAAGGACTGCTCGGGCGTGGAGTGGACGGGCATTGCGCCAATGGGAAGACTGGTGGATCCACGGCTTATACCCACGGCCCTGGCCCAGGATCAGGTGGACAAGATGGCCTTCTCTGAGGAAACGGACTGCTTCAAGCTGCAGCCAAACCGCTTTCTCAAGATCCTGCGCACTGTCTACCCCGATCTGTACGAGCGACTGAAGGTGATGCCGAAGGAGGAGCTCAGCCGTCGGCTGGAGAAGAATCGCATGTTCACAACGTACCAGATCGACTTCTGTGCGATGAACGAGTACCCTGAGGGCATATACGAGAGTCTCAAGACCGAGGACGAGGCCTCCAAGCTGAATGCCAACAAGTTCCTGACCAACAAGGCGCCCTGCTCCGAGTTCCGCTCGAATGTGATGAACGAACTGGACAGGGAAACCTCCATGGGCTACGAGGTGTCGCAGGATGAGTGCGAGAAGACATACAAGCCTTTCAAGACCACGTTCGCGGACTCCTCGCGCTTCGTCGCGTCGGGCAACAATTCCCACTGGAACGCGGCACCGGCCACCTATAGGAAGGTGCCCGACTTCACCGAATACATGGACTCGATAAGCCGCAACGGCTGTGTGATCATGCGAAACAAGTTGCACGACCACTCAAAATGTCTCGCAAACTACTGCAAGCACGAGCTCAAGTTCACCTGCAACGACATGAAGCCGTAAATTGCAATTGGATCATCCTTGCAATCAGCACTACTCGAATGTCCTGTTGATCTCGTGCCCTCTGGAGTTTGCATTTTTGGTTCAAGTAAATAAATGAGTAAATAAAACTTGTTGTATCTTAGTGGGTTCTGTTCTCTGTGTGGCGGGGCGGGGGGAGTTTTCTGTGTTGTCCACTCACCTCTAGATAACGCAACACATCCCGGAAGGTTGCACGCTGAGCCTTGCGATCGCGCTTGGCCCGATACTTGTGCGAATCGGTGGCCAGCTGCTTGACAGCCTCGCTCAGCTCGGCGATTTCTTCCTCAAGGAAGTCGTCATCGTGGGCACGACCCGATTCCAGTATCAACGCAATGGTTTCGCCAGCGGCCATGCGGACATCCAAATGTGGGGACTGCAAGAGGCCCAAGAACTTCTTGATCGATCTAAAAGTGAGTGAACGGCATTTAATAAATCATTTCTGGTGCTATAATCGTTGGGGTTTAAGGACTTACGGGAACATGTTGTTTCCGGTGGTCATCAGCGACACGAAATCACCCGGTGGTATGAGAGTCAGGAGCAGACCCCAAGCACTTAAAGCCTCGGCATGCAGGGCTCCCGCTTCGGCGGTGACCGACACTGGGGTCTTGTCGTCGCCCCGCAGATAGCTGCCGGCAAAAATGGCCTCGAAATACTGCATCAGGCGGACCAATTCGGCGACATCCTCACAGCCCAAGAAGCTGAGCAGTCCAAGAGCCGTGACGCACTTGGCTCTGGCGTCGAAGCCGATGGACTTGTCCTGAACGGTGGTCAACAGAAACTGGTTCATGGCCTTGGAGATTCCCTTGTCGCCGCCCATCTGGAGTACCAGCAGGGGGGCCAGACGTGCGCCCCAAACCTGCTCCTGACCCTTGCCGCGACGGATGCTCTTCTCAACAAAGTCCATCAGCGTCATCTTGCGGTCCTCTACGAAATCGGGCATATAGCGGTGCATCAGCAGCTCACAGATAGCCTGGAGGGCCTGAACACGGGTCTGGGCCGACTTCTCGGTGGCCTGTTCCAGGGCCTTCTCGAATTTCTCCTCGAAACGCTCATTGGCCAGGTCGTCGTTGGCCTCCGAGGAGGCAACCTCCGAGACGTGCGAATAGACGCTCACATTATCAAAGGACTCGTCCTCGGAGTTCGACTCATTATTCCGACCTGTTGAACAGATGGGAATGGAGTGGAAGGAAAAGAATTTAGTATTTCAAACTGTAATGGGTTTGAGGGAAACTGTAGCGATCGGTGCATTCAAAAAGCACAACGGTTCACATTCCCGCTTGTCAAACTGTTTGAGAAATGAGTCATTGAATCATTGGGTTGGCCAAGCTTTCCGCCTTTTCCTCGTTGTCATGATATAAGTACATATGCATGTACATGTGTACATAGTACACAAAGAGAAATAGAAATTGATTTACATTTGGTGCCGCCGCGAATGACCTTCAGGGAAACAGTTTTAGAGTCAACGTTGTGCAACAAGTTTTGTTTCATTTTCTTTTCAAAGAAAAACCTGCGTCCGCGCGCACTACTTTCCCACCTGGCTATTTGGGACAAGGCAATTTCCGTCTCCGTCTAGCATTTTCCACCTTTCACAAAACCATTCGCAGGCAACAACAAATGCGGTAACAACAAGAAGAGCGAGAAGAGGAAGAAAACCAGCTGTTGGGCAAAAAGTGGGGCTGTGTTTGCTTTTGAAAGTTGCTTTTGCTTTGGATGAAGCGACAGGGATGGAGGGAGAGGGGAGTAAACCAATCTGTGTTTGAGCGTAGTATGTACATTTGTACGTATTGATGTACGTACATACGTATTGTATGCCTGCATAATAGTTGCATAATTTGTGGGTCACAATGTCTATAGGTGGGGTGCATCACTAACAGAAAAAGTCTTCCGCGTGCTTATTTATAGAGGGAATTCGGAAATAGTACAAGTACTCGAACTATTTAGAATGAATTAGGTTAATTGATTTTCAGGGGATCATCATGTCAGACGGACTTCCTCCAACTCGATTCTTTTTGACTTATACACAGATGAGTCCCATACGCTCAATTGAACCCAAGGAACCCAACTAATGCGCATTTATTGGGGAAATGTTCCCATTCTCTATCCTATGCCCTTCGAGACTGATATCCCCCTTGATACCCGCTGATAGAAGGCACTTGCACATGTATTTACTTGAACACATGCATACATGCGGGTGTGCCTGTATGAAATCGGTTTTGATAAGCTGGCATTGAACGTATGTATTTGTATTTATTTATACACACATGCACATACACATGTGTATAGATTCCTCTTCTTGTATAGCTGTATTGTTGCCAGCTGAGCGACGAACGCGTGAAAAGCTTTTTATGCCAGCACAGCAACAACACAAAAATAATTATTTCATTTCATGCCAAACAGGTTGTGGGCAGCAGCTAAATACATGCATACATATTTGAAGAGTATTTTCGTCGTCGCATGACTAATGCAAAGGTCAGGCAAAGCAGCTGTAGAAATTTCGCTTGCAATTGCCTCGCCTACCTCCCACACCCCCACTCCCACCACCACTCACAAACTCGCACACTCACACCGCAATACAATCTCTTTCTTTGTCGTCTTCGTTTGTAACTTACCTTTGCCTTGTCCTCCTCCTGATTTCTTATTGCGTCGCGGCATGTTGATGTTTTTAATTTTGCGTTTCTCACGAATTTTATTTGAAAACGATGACGTTTTCGTTGGTATTGTCGACCTGCCTGCTCAGTTGAACACAAACTCAAAGGGGAATAAATACCCTGTAGCCGAGTGGGTCCTCGACTCTGACCGCAGAGAAGTCTACACGACAAAAAAAATGTCTACTCGGTTTGGCGGCAACCGAACGCACGTGTTCCTTCCGATTTATTGATTTTGTCTCGAGAATTTAGGTTAAATTTGAATTTAGTTGGGTTTTAGGCTAGAGATCAGGAGATATTTTGATCAGGACGCAGCTATGCAAAAGCTTTGATGCTTCCAATTTTTAGCAATCCTACACAATTGTCTTTGGTGGTATTGCTGCTGCTGCTGCACGCGGCGTTTGGAAATGGTGAACACCGATTGCAATTGCGGAATGAAGGTTGACACTGGACGCGATCGTATTTTATTTATACAGGTGCGCGGCTGTTGGTGCTCTTCTGGCTGGGCGATTCTACAAAAATGTTGTGCTCTGGTTGTCGTTGCAGAAAATTTCATGTTTAATTGCAATGAAGACACTCTGCGCTGGCAGCCACTCCGCTCCGCCCTGTTCTTTGTGCTATGGTGAAATTCCTCTGCGCTCGTTTTGGGGTTTTTTGTACTGGTATTTCAGTTTGTTTTTTTTATCTCGCCAGCGTTTGCACGGCACGGCTTGTACTTGACGGCTTGTAGCTTTCGAAAGCTCTGCGAGCACAAAAATTGCAACAAATTTAAGCACTTTGATTACGATTTTCACGAAATTTGTTGTTTTTGGCGAGTGACGAAACCAGTGGGCATATGGATAAAATATACGGTCTCACCGTCAGAAATATACCGAAATATACCTCACAGTTTCAAAATATACCGTAAATATACCGATAAAAAACCTAGCTTAGACCACATAACACCCCTCTATTTAAACAGGCGAACGTAATCCGCATAAAAAAATACTGTTTATAAATTCTTCTTGTAAATCCTTCCGCTTACACCTTACATCCTTCCTTAAACACACGAAAGCTGAAAGATAACCTGAAGCACTAACCATACAGTATATTGATGTGCCAGTCCCTAAACCGAACACGTCGCAAATGAACTTTCTGCCTACGCTCCCAGTGTTCTCGGCTCTGGCGTCCGACTTCACCATGAGACAGCAAGCCCGCCGACTGCCTATAATCTTTCTTTTACAAAGAGGTATTCAGTTTTGCAGGTTTTATAAGAATTACTTTATAAATCCGGTTTGGCATACTCTCTACCAATTTCTTAAAAATACGGCTCCAATTCCAATTCTACACTGCTCCAGCTCTCGCCTATGTTAGATGGGGCGATTGACCATAAGTTTTCAATCGGATTGAGGTCGGGAATTTGAGCTGGCCACTCCATCAATTTAAAATTTTTATTTCCCAGCCTTTCCCGAACAATTTTCGCAGTGTGCTTCAGATCCCCATCTAGTTGAAAAGTTATAAGCCCAGAAAACTGGGAAGATGGGATTGCAAAATGTTTAAATAGTCCACTTTTCGCATGAGACCATCTATTTTCTGTAGAGGACCTTCCAATGGACCAAAGAGCGATAGTAAAACGGAACTATCATACAATTTTCGAAAATGGACTTATGATAAAAATCCGGGAACGATGAGTGAAGTCTCGCTAAATGCTCGCAGACTGACTCAAAAATGAGCAGTTACCGGACAAAAACCGAGCGACGACCAGAGTCAGGCAAAACTATCACAAACGGACTTGATAAGAGCATGATACGCAAGAAACTCCGGATCTCGTAAAGCACGAATGCAAACAATTCGCAGCAAGTTAATTGCTGCAATCAAATTTGCACGTTTGCATACGAGTGCAAACACTTTGCAGCAAGCAAAAAATTTGCAATAACTGTTTGCGGCAACTATTTTAGCTTGTCGTCTGTATACAGAATTTTACGGTTAACTTGGTTGCGTCAGTTGCTTGCTTGTTTGCATGTGCTGTTTGCTTTCAGTCGCAATATTGCAGCAAGCAAAGCAACATGTGGGATCGCGAGAAAACGATAAAATTAATTGATTTGTACGAGAATTATTCTGTTTTATGGGATGTCTCGTCACCAGACTATAAAAATAAGCATAAAAAGCAAAAAGCTTATCGCGAAATTGCTGAAAAGTTAGACAAAAGTGATGATGAAATAAAAACAAAAATTCATAATTTACGCACTCAATTTTTGCAAGAGGTGCGCAGAGTGAAGCAAAAAAAGAGTGGCCAGGTTACATCGGACAACTATACCAGCAAATGGGAGTTTTTCGATGCGCTTAAATTTATTAAAAATGACGACGGAAATAATTATAAAATTAAAAATTTGGTAAGTAGTACAATTTATTGAACATATCGTAGTAATTACTTATTTTATATATTTTTATATTGCCATGACACTCCACCAACAGGCGAAACAAAAAATCCAAAGTACATCCAAAGCAAAAAAAAGAAATCGTGACGAGATAGAATTTAAGGACGAAGATCGGCTTATTAAAAAGGCAAGCGCTTTACTCGATAAGACAGCGGATGACCATCAGGTGTTCGGAGATTTCGTTGCATCTGAGCTCAGATTGTTGAAATCACACCAAAATAGACTTGTGCTTCGCAGAAAAATTCAAAGAGCTATTTTGGAAGTATCGGAAATTGATAGCGAGGGCACTTCTACTTGTTCCACACCTAATATTGTGTACTCGTCTACCAATTCTCCAGTTGTTGGCTTTTAAGATAGTAAAAAAGAAAATAATTTACATACTTACTTTAAGATATTCCCTTTTGAGGCATTCATGTACAGCTCGACAACACTTCGTCACAATGCTTGCAACCGTACTCACAGGAATGCGAAAAAGAAACATCAGAGAATGATATGAATCACCTGTAAGAAATTAAATTACATAAATAAACATATTAATTAAAAGTACATAAAAATGTTAATTATATTTAATACATACCCGTGTCTAAAAAACCCAATGTCAGGGCTAATCGCTAATTTGGTGGAATCGCAGGACGCATTACAGTGTCTTGTTTAGTTAAGCAGTTTTTTACTTTTTCTAATAAAAAATTGAAATCACTGACTGCTTTTAAAAGGTTCTGATGCACTCCTCTTTCATCTCTTTTGGAAATCCACTCTTTCACCCAACACTTTCTTTTTTTTTGCAGACTCTAATCTTCTAATTTTTTTACGTTTTATTAAAGTTGCTAATATAGCAATAGCAACAACTCTCGATTTTTTGCCGACATAATATAAACGTTATTCCTTGACTTTCTCAAAACAACAGAACTTGCAAATGAGTGTCACTTGCAAGCACTGAAAACAAAAAATGAAAACACGTGTAGACATTAATGTTTCACGAAATAGCCATGCAAAAGTTTGCGTGCAAAATAAAAATTGACTGAAGCAAGAAAATTTCATGCAATATTTTCATTAGTGTGAACATATGTATGTGAAAACTTTTGTTGCAAATTATTTTTAACTTGCTGCATATTGCTTGCATCGTGTGTACCTATGTAGCTTTATAGAACATTAACGAACATGTCAAACAGCTGTCCGGCACAACGCACAGTGGGCGAAACGGCCAATCTAGTGGCATTAAATTAATAACAAGAGTAATTTAAGAGATATCTTAATTACATTTTTAGTTTAGCATGATTGTTAATAGCCGGATGATTGTTCCAAATTTCAGTAGAATCAGTCAACTATATCAAATAGATACTATAGTTCTGATCCTTCAAAATATTTAAATATTTTAAAATACCATTCTGAAGATAGTTTACCAGTGTAACTTATGTAATTTTAAATATATCTAAATTCCCATATCTGAACTATCGGAACATAAAACGTCTTTTTCAAAGTTTACATCAAATAGCAAATCTTTAACTTCTTTATCCAACTTTATATTTTCTTTGGAAAGCCTCGATGACACTTTTGATAACTTTGAAATTAAAGAATCAGATGTAATTAGAAGAGCATGCATTATATTTTTTTTGCCACGTCTTCTTCTTCAATGATATAACTTTAGAAGCATTTCTCTCACCACCACTTGTCGAAATGTCAAAATGTTCCATTACATTTTATCCATTTTTGCAGAAACGTGCTTACAAGTGTTCTTATCCTTCTTGCATTTCTTCTGAAAATATGTCATTTTCATTCGCAATAGACTTTTTTGGTAGCGACCGTTGTACGGAAGTGGAAAAGTTCGCCTTGGGATGGACATTTTCGAAAAATTAAATTACTATTATTTTCGGCTGCCATATGCAGATAGTTTTGGGCATCCAAATTCACAATAAATTAGAGAATGTGTATCAAAAACAATTGCAACTAGATCGTACACATCTCACAGGATGCACTCCACCAAACAATGCAATATGTTTTTCAAGCAAAAATTTTCCAAGGTCAACTTCCACAGCTATTTTAAACTAATATATATAATTAAACGTCATATACACCTTCCACCAAAAAGCTACAAGTCTATAAATTGCTAGTTCAGAATAAATTTTAACTATGCTTTGATTTTTGACTTTTTGCACAAATTTTTGCCAGCTTAACAAAAAAGGCCCAAAGACTTGTTTATAACAGCTCTTGCTGTTTATAACAGCCCTGCTTCACGAAATATGAGAGTTTCAACAGACTCTGTCATGAAATTTTGAATTAAATGCAGCTAGAGTGGCCATTTTGCCCACTGTGCAGCGCCGCTGTTTTTTTTCATTATGTGTTCTTTTGTGATTGAAAACCGCAGCGGAAGGGCATAAACGGGGAGTAAAAAATCGGTAATTAAAGTATATTTTTTTTAAACTGAATTTAAAAAATGCACCTGATATATAAAATCTACCGAAACAAGCTGAAATGGTGGATCTTCGCTCTGAAATTGGATCCATAAAGGCAAAGGTTTGTAGAGAGATCCTCAAACCAAAGAAGCTATGCCTTACCAACCGTTTAAAACTATAGAAGAACTGGACCGTTTCGACCATAGCTTGAAGGAGGAAAGTTTCTTTAAAAATGTGGTAAGTGTTTTGCGTTAAACTCACGAGCTAAATTTGCCAAATATATTCAAATTTATATTTGTACGGATCGTAGGGTTAATGATGTCGGCCGAAAAGGCATTTGACAAAGGTATTCAGAGCTCTTGGCGGTCCACTATCGCTAATGATGCCAAAAAGTGTATAAAGGGCTTGCGGGCTATTCT